AATTTTATGAATTTGTAATAAAAAATATATTAGAAAAATGAAAAATAAACACGTTTTCAGTGATCTCAGACTTTTGGCTTTCACTGTATGTCTTATCCTGGAATGTGTTCATTCTAAATGATTTAATGAGTTAAGTCATTTACACACAAACCACTGTTGTTCTGCAGATCTGGAGTGAGTCTGGCAATTAAGGACAATAACGGTAGTTTCATCAGCACTCTAAGCATGGTTCTTTTTGAGGTATTTTATGTTCCTTTGGCTTAGTTTAGCAATGACCTTTAGCATAACACATTATTGACTATAACATTCAAGAGTTATTGGAACTGGCCAGTTGCATGTGTTCATAACTGTCTTTCTGCACCGACTCAAAGGACTACACATATACAACTCGTCTCTTCATACCTCCATCGGGTCTCATGCTGAAGACCAGGGTTTTTGTGGAAGTCCGAGCCACTAATCTCACAGAGAGGTACTTTGCTCAGTTTGAGATTATCATCAATTATGTTATACATCATGAGGTGGCCTATAAAATATGGATGCCAACGACAAAAATTATGAATTTTAGTGATATTCATTCTGATGTAATCCAGCGTGAAAAACTTTTATGTAAATTATTATTATTATATTAAATATTTTTGAAGTTGATAGATCACTTTTCAAATATATATATATTTTCCCCATAAAGATTCAATGTTTTGTTGGATCGATGCTATACAACCACTAGTCCTTACCCAGGAAACAGCACATCATTCAACCTGTTTGTCGGGTAAGACTTAAATCTTTGTTACAGTTACACATTTTAAATAATGTTCAGCAATCTAAATTAACACTATATTAAGTGAATAAGGTTTGGGAATACATTACATAAATATGAAATTACACTAATTTGTGCATTTAAAAACTGTGTGAATGATATGTAATAAAAATGCAATACATTTGTGTTGAAACAATGACTTGAGTCTGATGATAAGTACTCTATAATAGAGTTACAAGTACTTCATTTTTGGGTAACACTATTTTACAGTGCTTATCATGTGCACCTGTATCCTTGTTACACATTACATGTACTTACTAATATAATAACAATTCAATTAAATTCAAGTTTATTTGTATAGCGCATTTCACAATACAAATCGTTGCAAAGCAACTTTACAGCAAATTAAGTTTCTACAATATTTAATAATAGCTTATCAGTGGTGACTGTCAGTTAATGTACATATGGCAGAAATGTACGGAAAAATCAATTAAAGATGTAATCAAACAGACGATGAACACTATTAACAGCAATTATTATATGATGCAATCAAACTTATAGCAAAATGTGGCAGTTCTGTATGTTGTTTCATGGTTGGCATCATCTGAGGTCCTCTGAGGGGTTGGCATCAATTCTTCTCAGGTGTTCTGGATCCAGACTGAAGCTTGTGTAAATCCTTACCACGGGATGTCAATCCCTCTACCTCCTTTAGTGGACTTTGCTATCCTAGATCCTACCAACAGTCCAGAGTTTTGAGACCTTAGGGAGCGTGATGGATTGAAGCGAAGCGTGGTAGAAGACTAGTTAGGTACGCAGGAGCTAACCCATTAAGGGCCTTATTGGTAAGTAATAATATTTTGTAACTGCTACAGAACTTAATAGGTAGTCTAATAGGTAGTAAAATTGGGGTAATATTACCATATTTTCTTGACCTGGTAAGGACTCTAGCCGCTGCATTTTGGACTACCTGTAGCTTGTTTATTGAAGATGCAGGACAACCACCTAGCAGTGCATTACAATAGTCCAGTCTAGAGATCATGAATGCATGAACTAGCTTTTCTGCATCAGAAACAGGTAACGTTTCGTAACTTGGCAATGTTTCTAAGACGGAAGAATGCTGTTTTTGTAACATGGGAAATATGATTTTCAAAAGACATGTTGCTATCTAATATAACACCCAGATTTTTGACTGTAGAGGAAGTAACAGTACATCTGTCTAGATGGAAATTGTAATCCAAGAGATTCTGTGTACTGTTTGGTCCAATAAGTAATATCTCGGTCTTATCCGAATTTAATAGGAGAAAAGTATTGGTCATCCAATCTTTTAAATTTTTAACACACTCTGTTAGCTTAGATAATTTAGAAGTTTCATCTGGTCTTGTTGAGATATGTAGTTGAGTATCATCAGCATAACAATGGAAACTAATCCCGTATTTTCTAATAATATTACCACAGTGAAACATGTATATTGAAAATAGCAATTTGACTTAGGACAAGTCCTTGTGGCACTCCATAATTTACTGGAGATAACTGAGAAGACTCCCCATTTAAATGAACAAAGTGGTAGCGATCTAAACCATCTTAAAGCCTGCCCTTGAATACCTGTATAGTTTTGTAATCGATCATGATGTCCAATCGTATGTCATGATCTATAGTGTCGAACGCAACACTAAGATCAAGTAAAACTAGCAATGAGATGAAGCCTTGGTCTGACGCAAGAAGCAAGTCATTTGTAATTTTAACAAGTGCAGTTTCTGTGCTATGGTGGGGCCTGAAACCTGAAATTCTTCATAGAGATCTTTTTTTGCAGGAAGGAGCACAATTGAGCAGACACAACTTTTTCTAAAATTTCAGACATAAACGGAAGCATATGCATAATTATATGCAAGTAAACCTAAATCAAACCCTAACCATATAGTAAGTACATGTAGTTAATTAATATTATGCAGTACTTACACTGTATAATTAATGTATAATTACACTGTAACAAGGACACCTTAAAATAAAGAGTAACCAATTTTGTAATCTGATTACGTAATACAGATTACATATAATCTTTTACTACCCAGCACTGATTATATCATCCTCTGTCATTCTCAGATGCAACCTTGATCTACAAACCATAATGGGTGTGAATGGAGAACAACAGTTGGCGCGCTTCTCGTTCGAGACTTTTCGCTTTGTGGAGCACAGAAACAGGACTGTGTCGACCTTTTATCTGCACTGCACCACCAGGCTCTGCGAGAGCTCTTTCTGTAGATCCTTACGGCAGGTATGAACACAACCCTATGACAACATGTACCATTGCTAGCAAAAACCTTAATATGTAATTCACAAGAGGGCCTCATAAACCATCATCTAACTGAAGTGCTTTTAAATGTGTCTTATGATACATGCATCAGGACTGCACAACTTCCGGAAGGAAGCGGAGGGCCGTCCAGTCAGCTCAGGGAACCTCAGTGAGTGACGTTGCCACGGTGAGCTCTGGGGCAATCATCACCAAAGTGGATGGTAAGAACAGTTAGCTGTTTGAGAGATATCATTCAAAATATGCATGAAACAGGGTTTATGCAGGTCTTAAAAAACTTAATTCACCCTTACACAAAAGGCCTAAAAAGTTCTTAACAGCAGAAAGTCTTAATTTTATAAAAGTCATGGCATTAAATGTTGCATGCACTGCAAAAAATGGACTTCCTCAGTATTTCTGTTGTTGTTGTTGTTTTCCAATACAAAAATCTAAACATCTAAACACATCAAGATTAATTTACTTGAGATGCAAAATGAACACATGAAGTCTTGTTTTCTGAGAAAATGAAAGTGTATGCTTAAAACAAGAACAAATATTGAATCAAATTAAAATGTATGTTTTAATTCATTTTCTCGTATAACAAGACCGCTTATGTTATGTAATTTTGCTTCTCAGGTAAATCATTTTTAAACATTTGCACTGGGAAAAAAAGTTTGTTTTTTTGCAGTGTGATCATAAGGTACGGTAATTTATTTCCATATTCTAGTGGGAAAAATATTCAAACAAATTATTTATTTTTGTAAATTTAATGTTGAAAGTTTTATTTACGATGTGTCTGAAGCATTGCTAAAGCAATACATTTACATTAGAGACCACATGGACCTATTTTGTTAATTTATTTTTATTCTTTAAAATTTATTTATTTTTGCTTAGTTTTAAAAAGGCCTTAAAAAGTCGTACATTTACCTTCATAAAACCAGCAGAACCCCTGATGAATAAAGTTTACTGATGAGTAAAGATGTTCTACTGTCATTTGGATGCGTTTTATTGTTTTTTATGTATTTTAACTTTTATTATAATGACATGTTTGAACTCATTTTTTTAATTTTCTTTTTTTATAATCCTTATAGAACCATTTGGACCTGTTGCTACAGGTATGCACTTGTTTTCTTTCCTTTAAATTTGAATTAGAGATCTCCTAAACCTTTTGTCAGCTGTGTGCTTTTAATGGGTCAATTTGATGTGCCTGTGTTTGTGCAGTGTCTAAGGATCTGAAGCAGGACAAGGCAGTGGTGGGCATCTCTGTGGCAGCGGGGGTATTCGGAGGCCTGTGTGTCATCATGCTGGCTGTGCTCATCTACAAGATCCGCAAGGACAAGTTCAATGCAGACAAATCAAACCTTTTCCATTGACAGCTCTCAGAGATCCCAGTCTTCTCAACTGAGATGCTCATCATCGTGAAATCTGTTCTCATAGACACTGTAAAAAGGGCTTCTGCGTCTAGTCCTGTAGTTTGGTTAAGCTCAAGGTTTAGAGGACAGGAATGGGATGACGAGTAGATGATGCCATGAGGAAGAACAAAATGTCATGAAACTACTATTATAAATAGATGTGTGCCTTACAGTAAAACAGTCTACTGAATGGATTAGTCATACTTTTTTGCATGCCAGTGTTCATTATGATTTTAACTATACTCCATTTATATATATATATATATATATCTGCATTTTGGGGTTTTCTGTAAGAGGGCATTCTTGTAAAAAAAGATTTGTTAATGTTATGAGTAATTAAAGCAACCCAGGATATAGTAATTTATGGTATTAAACACTAGCCTTCATGTACTCAGATTTTTGCTTTAAAAAAATAAAAAAAAGAATCTAGAAATGACCTGTGTGGCTTTTCTTTCACTTATTTTATATTGTTACATTTTTATAATTAAATCCAAAAATTATATTAAATACAGAAAAAAAACACTGCTAACCAGCGTTATAAGGTTAGTTTAGCAGTAATTGGTTTTTTTTTTTTTTTAAAAGAGACTTTATTAACAGTTTAGAAACAATCTTCTCCCTTTTCCACATTTTTCTCTCCACACAGACTTGCACATGAAAACATGCAAAAGGCAAAACCAGTGAAGATGTGAACACAAACAAAAAAAAAATATCCATAATCCACTTTTCAGTTGAGTGAAATTCCTTTGATGCCAGGCAGCATACTAATCATACTGAAGTCCATAAATACATGAGATGTTTGGCATAGATGATGCTCACAGGTACAAACGGCTGCTTTGGGAATCATGGAAAAAGTTGAACCAATAAGATGTGACAAACTGCTAAGCAACAATTCAGCAGGAACTTCACATTTCCTCAATACACATTTCTGGACGCAAAGGTGTCTTGGAGTCAGAGGACATGACATATACGACCATTTCAAGATAATCTGTATTTACACAAAGGACAGCGTGTTTACTTTGGTCAAGCATGCCATTTTTGATTTCCTTGTGACTCAAACAAACAGGGGTCATGTTTCTGAGAGGGAGAAGATCATTAAACAACTGTGGACGGCGCACACAGCTTGGAGTTGGGATTGGTATTTTCTTTTGGCTCAGGGTCACTGAACTAGAACAACTGAAATAAACACCATCATTGTCAAGCTGTTCCAATTTGCTGAGGGGGCCGGAAATTATTATAATTTTTTTAACCACTTAACGGAGTCAATAAATATAACAAATAAACCTTTAAGAATTCCAGATGTTATAATTCATCTCCTTTATGGTTTTCTGATTTGCTGCTGTCTGTTGATTCTGCAAAAAAGAAACATTACATGCATTTATATTAAGCAATTAAATCTATAGATTCTTATATTTTATGTCAAAGAGCTCATGTTAAAATGATTTTGATGTTAGATTGATTAGTGGATTGTGAATGACCTGTATCTGTATTTTCTGCTGGATTTAGTTCAAGTATGGGTTCTTCGTCTTTTTTTTCAGCAGTTGGCGGCTCCTCTGCCGGCTTCACCTCTTCAGCTAAAAAGCACAATTCATATACCGAATTCACTCCATATTAACAGGAAAAGTAACTAAATGAAGAGTTGCAAAATCTATATTAGTGGATTTGCAAAAATAAAATAATCAGTCTCACCATCATCACTCTTGGGAGGAATAACCTTCTCTGCATCTTCTGTGCTGTTAGCTTTGCTGTTCTCTGTGGAGGTGGTGTTCTTGTCTTTAGCCTTATCTTTAGGCTTTGGTTTGACAAACTTTGCTTTGTTCAGCAGGTAGTTCACCTCCCTGTCCAAGAGGGAACGCTTAGCTTCAATGTCCTTAGAGAGCAGAACAGGTTTCTCTGTTGGGGACAATTTGTCCTGTTCTGCAACGGTCTCATTCTTCCAAGTCTGCAACAAAAAAAAAAACTAAGCAAAACATGCAGAGTGAATCTCACATGTTTGTGTGGAATTCATGAGGAAGGATAAAAGAAACAGGAATGTGGTGGGGGGGGGGGGGGATTATTACATACCATTGTCTCATTGATGACCCTCTCTAGAGTCTTCAGTTCAACCTCTGTGAAGATCTGGTCACTCTCAGGAATCAGTCTAACACTCCTGTGAACAACATCCCATGTAAGTTACAAAGTAGTTTACATTTATTTGGACTCGTCGCGGACTGAACTCAAAACTGCATTGCCCTCAAGATTACCAAGACAAAAAAATAAAATAAAAATAGTTTCAAAAATACTTTTATAAATTTTTTTTTAATTCCTTCTATTATTAATGTTAAATTTAAATAAAGACAATAAAATTAATGTATTCATTTTGATCAATTTAATTTAAAAATTTTAAATCTATTTTTAAACTTATTTAAAAATAAATTTATTAAATACATAATACATGTAATAAAATAAATACATTTGCATATTTTAAAAAAACACGTACAGTTAAATGAATAAATAAATGCATAAAATATTTACGTATATAAATTTTTTTATAAATGTATTAATACAATTCATTTCATTAATATATAAATGAAATTCAAACAATTTTTAAATACATATTTGTACATCAATTAAAAAAAAAAAAGGAAAGAAAGAACGAAAGAAAATGGATGGATTGAAGTAATTGATGCAGCTCTCACTCACTTGAGGAAGATGGTGGAGTGGTTAAGCATGCTGTCGAGAGCTGCCAGACTGTCGGGCCATTTCTTCCTCTCCTCCACTCTGAAGAACATGGCTTTACAAAGCTTTTTCAGTTCCGACAGCTTTTCCTTCAGCTCCTTAGTGCCAGCGGCGTACCCCTCCTCATCCATCCAGTTAGAAGCCTCGCTCAGCTTGCCTGTGATCTGCTCCTTCTCCTCCTCAGTCACGACAGCCAGATACTCATCCTGATACAGCTTATCCTAGACCGAGAAAGGAAAAATTAACTAGATTTGTTGTCAATTCAAAAGAAGAGTCGACCTAAAAAGGGAAGAAAAAAAAATCTATTTTGAGGTGATAATAGCTGTAATAACTGTCGTCCAAAATCCTCCATCATAATACAGCCTTAAACCCACTATAGATTTCACCTAATGCTCTGCAAATGAAGCTTTTTAGGCCTGGACAAAGACAGTTCCGTCATCACCACGCCACTGGATCTATGAGTCACTGCTCAAACACTGGGAAGGGCTGCAGAGAGCTTCATTATACCTGCGTCTCAAAGATAAAAGCCTCCAGGCTGTTCAGGGTCTTTTCTCTCTCCTGCTTCTCCAGATCGCGGTCAGTGAGGTCCTGCAGCCTGATATGAGGGAGGAACACATGGGAATTTTTTTAGAGATTCTTCAGTTACTACAGAGTATCTGTCCCATTTCTCGCTCTCAGTTAATTCATTCTCCACGTTAATTAATTCTGAGAAGAAAGAAACACTTACTTCTTTTTGGACACCTCTATGTCCTCTGTGCTGGGATCGAGAACATCATTCACCTCAAGCTCCACTGTGATGTCTTCTGATATTTTGCTCTTTTTTTGTGGTTTGGGTTTCTTGTCCTCCTCTTTCTCCTCTGCTTTCTCACCATCTGATTTCTCTTCAGGCTTTTCGGCTTTCTCGGCGTCTGTCTCTCCCTGTGTGACGGAGGTGAGAGTTCACTTCTAAACAGATTCCAAAACTAAAATCAAATGGAGTAACTCGCCAGTGGCTGGTAACTTCATATGAAACTGCAATATAATACATGGCTTAAATTGAAATTTAAGAATTATAGTCTGACCCTTGCTGACGTAAGTGATGCGACTAATTCAAATGGTCACGTTTTTGTGACAGGTCCAACTTTACATAGGGGCAGAGACTTCAATATAACGCAGTTTGTCACTAGAAGGTTCCCACACTTTGACTACTGAGAGTCCGTGATTGACTGTATAAAGATTTTTTGAAAATCATAAAAAAATTTTTTTTTTTTTTAAAGTTTAAAAATCATTGGTTGTGCACCCATTTTGGCAAAATAATATTATATTATATATATATCTTTTTTTTTTTTTTATAGAAATTGTCATGACTTATACACTTTTAAAATTCCCTGATAAGGTAAAAAACAACAACACTAACTCTAACTGGCATTAAAATATATTTCCAAATTAAAATCATTGTTATAATAATAATAAATAATGCAATATTCTGTTTCAATGGCCAGTAAAAAAATAACTATTTCTAATAAAGTATGATTTGTATTATATTGATTATATTAGGTCTTACATTAAAATAATTATCAGCTAAAAAAATTAATAAAAAAAATTTACATCTGTATTGGGTCAACTAGAGAAAAGAATCTACAAGAAACTCTAGTCAGGTGCTTCAGTTGGTGTTTGGCACTGCATGTTGTATAATAAAACATGAGGGGAAGTCACAAATCTCTCCTGAGAATAACAGGGCGGAACTAGTGAACTTGAGTCTCATGAAAGCCTAGAGGTTCCATAATCACTCTGCACCTCTCCAGAAATGTGATGAACTGTGAATAATCTCACCTGAGTTTCCGCTTTATCTTCTTTGTTGTCTTTCTGCTCCTCCGCCTGAGGCTCACCCTCTTTTCCCTCCTCCGTCTCGGGTTTCTCCTGGGCAGACTTTTCCCGTTTCTCTGACCGTTCCTGATCTTTCTCAGCCTCTGGAGTCACTTCTTCTTCATCCTGAACCATTATAGAAAAACAAAATGTCAAGATTAATTTGATAAAATGACATTTAAATGTCTGTCAGAGTCGTTAAGAATCATTAAGAAGATTTACCGTAACCGGTTCAGTCACATTTGCAGTTGGCTCTGAGCTGCCACCCCCAAACAAGCTGGAAATGGTGTTTCCAAGCTCTGGGTTAAAAAAAAATAAAAAATTAACGAGTGAAGCAGACACACACACTATTTTTTATTTTTTTTATATACATATAACATTTTTAGGCATTTCCAAAACTTACTGGTAAGCGTGGACTCCTCCTCTTTCTCCTCCACAATGGTCTCAAATACTGACTCCACCTAAAAAGTCAAGAATTCAGTTCTTCTGGCTTATTAAGCACTTACCGGAATAGTAAAACTTCACAGTTGTACTAATCTGACGATTCACTATGAACTAAAATCCAGTACTAACCCGGTCCAGAATTAGCACCCCGCTTTCATCCATATTGAAATGAGCCTTGATGCCCTTGGATTCAGCATCTGAATGTTTCTTGAAGCTGCTGCCCACTCCAGACAGTTTCACCGTCGTCAGATTCTGAGATCCAAACACTCTGAGAAAGAAAAAAAGATTGGTTTGACATTAACTTTAGTCCATTTCTGACAAAGTGCAAACAAATAAAACAGAACATTAGCAGAGTGAATAAAACTTTGTCACTTACTTCAGGTCCTGTTCACCGAGGAAGCCGAGGTCTCCATAATTGATGTAGAAGACAAAGTCATCCATGTAACGATTAAAGGTGATAACTTTTCTCTGGGGATACGGGGCCATTCTCTGAAACAGGATGCGCTTGTTGTGTTTCATGGTCTTCACGCCATCCTCTTCCTCGGTCTCACGACTGAACTCAACCTAAGGAGGGAGACAGAAAACATTGGAGAACTGACGTATGACCATTAAACATGCAGATTAATTGTCTGTTATATTAAACATCTCAGTGATCTTGGTTAGGGCTAAGTAAAAACAAAATCTCTGTGTTGTGTTATCTCACCTGTATGGGAAACACAGCTGCATCCCTGACCAAGAAAGGTTTGACTTTAAAGGCTTTGCTGAGCGCAGCGGCCTGATAGACGGCACCCATTGCTGCAGCTTCATCTGCATTGATGTTCTTGCTCAGTTCCTCTCTGGAGACAAAAGAACAAGTGAAACCAAACTGAATTTTCTGAAACTGCACCAATTTCAGAACATCCATTCAGTTGTTAATAAAAGCTAATTGTATTAGATGTTGGAACTGCGTTAGGGTTTTTTTTTTTTTAAAGCTTCTGATTTTGTTCAAAGAAAGAACCAAACCTAAACTACTAGTCCATAACAAGGGGTCAAGTTTGGCTGGTTAGCTTATCCCAGTCTGCCCCTGCTGGTTGAAGATGTAACTACACCACTCAGCTCCTAGAAGCATTTTTTTTCCATTGACAGCCAATCAAAAGTATCTACTACTAGGGTAAACTAGGAAATTAAAAACAATAAAAAATTAAATAATGCAAAAAAACACATACTTTCCCACAGCTTTAAGAAGCACATCCTGCACTCTGGGCACCCTGGTGGATCCTCCAACCAAAATAACCTGGTCAATCTCATCCTGTTTGACAAAGGTATTTCAGATTATTGTTGTATAAACCTGTATAAAGCGAATGGCATGATATTTAGCTCCTCACCATGCTCATTTCAGCAGCAGCTAAAGCTTCTGTTACAGGTCCTGGTACTCTGTCAAACAGATCCTCGCAGAGGGCCTCAAACTCCGAGCGAGTCACTTTTGCCTTGAAGTCTATGTCATCCATCAGACCCTCAATCTGAAGAGAGAGAACATCAAGAGGTCACTAAACCACCCAGACTTGGTTGAAGTAGACAAATCAAATTAGATGCCTCCTCAAAACAACACAGAATACTTCTACAATTTTAATGTAACAGTGATTCATACTGCTGTTATTTTTGTTTACATATAATGAAGGGCTAACAAATCTCACCCGGTCAAGGAAATAGACATCATTTGATAACACCCATTTAATCAAGGCCATCCAATGTGGGAAAATATTGTGTAATGAATATTACTCCAAGCAGATACAGTGTGGTCCTAAGTTAACATGTTCCTTTGCATTTTCTAATTCAAGATTTTTTTAGTTATCATCAAAACAATTTGAGTGGGAGTCAAAATCAAAAATGAATATAAAATTTAAAATATCTTACTTAAATCTTGTTATCATTAAAGTGTCTTATTTGGTTTTCTCCCCCTTTTTCCATTTTAATAGCAACACTCAAGCTGCACGTAGTGCATGATTTGAGAATGATACAAAGCATCATATGCTTCAGTGGAAGCCAGAACATCTGATAAGTTCATAAATTTGCTTACATTTGAATAGTGACCTAGAAAGGTCTACTGATCATTTCACACATTTAAAAGGCACAATGAAGGGAAAGCAGCAACAGAGATTTTCTTTTGAATTGTGACATACAGTGAAAATGAATGATCAAAAAAGAAAGAAAGAAGAAAAAAATTTAAAAGTAGGTTGGGAACTTTGTTCTGTCCATTGGTTGTTAAATTAATTTTGGGCATTGCACTCAAAAACTTCTAAATGTGAATTTGCAGTTGAATGTACGAAAGTGGTGGGCTTTAAGTCACCAGAGAAGTCTGTTTATTAAGTTAATTAAGTTATGATATTATCATTTATGTTTGTTTGCGTTTAACGCCATTCCAGCTTCTATGGCTATTTTCATGGCAAGAATAACTGATATCATCATTTAAAAGTAGGAGGTTAATTTTTTTTTTTAAACATGCATGGTTGAATGACTCACAATAAGAGCAACAATAATATGAATGTTGAAAAAAGCTGAATTTTGATTTTATGCAGACTTAATTTTAGCAAACTGTATTGTACACTATTGAAATAAATTGTCATTTCAGTTTGAGATACCTGTGCCATATGTTCAGCATTAGCACTCAGCACAGTCTTGAGTCTCTGAGCCTCTTTAAGGAGTTTGGCCATGGCGCGCAGATTCTCCCTCACGTCTTTCTTGGATTTCTTCTGTTCGTTAAAGAGCTTGGCAAGATGATCTCTGAGCCTCAGCTCCATCTCGAATCCACCAAGTGTTCTATCAAACCTAAATATTAAAAGAAAAACAGCGATATTGTATACATATACATTGGCCACGTGGCCAACAAATTTGGCGAAAACATGACAACCACGACTAACCCAACTCCACGTATCTGAAGCTGCGGCTGAGTGCCAGATTCCTTGGTCTTCACCGTCTGATACGTGACAATCGTGGCTGTTGTGCTGCCAGATCCCATATCATAAAACATGATGTTCTACAAAAAAAGTAAGTATCAAAAAAATCAGTCATTCCCATTTAAAAATGCATTTCTACATCACAAAAAGCCATTGGTTGGTCAAAAAGATAAATCTCACTCACAAACAGCACCATTGGCTGATACACTGTTGACCTAATAAATAAATAAAATTCACTTCAAACCTTTCAGAAGTACCTGTGCGGTAGAGTTGATGTCCTTCCTCCTAAAGACTCCATAGTTCAAAGCCACAGCAGTATTATCATTGATAAGCTGAAGGACCTTTAGACCTGCTATATGGGCAGCCTGCAAGACTGCCCTGCGTTCTGCCTGATTAAAATAGGCTGGCACTGTGATCACAGCATCTTTTATGAGTTGCTCTGTTAGAAGAAAAACAAACTAAATTATTGGTGCGTTCAAATATCCCGCTCTGCAAAGACCATGACAGCTATTCAAAACACTCCTTATAATCAAACCTGCAAAGTCTTGAGCCAGACCACGAGAGTAGTTCAATATCATGCCCAAAAGTTCCTCTGGAGTATACTGCAACTCTCTGGATGATATAAAAGATTCATTTTTCATGTTAATATAAAACACATCGGTTCCAGCTAATGCATCTGCAAGTGCTCCATTACTTACTCTGAGAATTTGAAAAACACTGTTCCTCTTTTCTCATCTCTCTGCATCTGGTGTTCAGGGAAGTGTTTCTGATACTGTGCCACCTGTGGATTGTCTGCCGTCTTTCCCAAAATGCTCTGGAGGAATCTGTAAACCACCTTGGGGTTCTTCACAGCCTGTCATGATTAAAGAATGCTAGAGTCAAAGCTTGTCAAATATGCTGCGACAAGGTGTTAAAGACAAAGAAAATGTGAAGGGGTGCTTTTCATTTTACAGTACATGAAGTCCATTTACTTTCTTAATCCACATACCTGGTCTTATTTTGAATGATTTACACTATTGTCTAAAAGTTTAGGGTATTTAACTAATACTTCTATTTAGCAAAGATGCATTAAATTGATCTAAAGTGACATTAAAGACATTTATATAGCTACAGATATCGATTTCAAATAAATGTTGTTCTTTTGAACTTTCTGTTTATCAAATAAATCGTAAAAATGTATCAATGTTTCCATGAAATATCAATATTTTCAACATTCATAAAATGAGAAATATTTTGTGCACACCAAATAAGCATAATTGGAATGATTTCTGAAGGATCATGTCAAACTAAAGATATTTTAAATCATTAAATTGTAAACAATATTACCATTTTAGCATATTTTTTATTAGACTTGAGCATGAGACTTCTTAGACAAACAAACAACAACATCTTAACCCCAAATCTGTTGCAAATGCCATTTTATGTTGACTTTTAAAGAAGGTATTATGGTACAATGACTTACCACTCCTAAAGCGCTGTCTCCAAAAAGCCTCTCGTTTTCCTTTAAGCACACTGCGACTGGAGTTTTCCGCCGGGACTCCCTACACAAAAAAAGAAGCTAAATGTCACAACAGAGTAAAATGTTGTCCGAAATGAATTATTCTATATTATAAGTCTAAATGACTTGACATCTGTGGATTTTATATGCACTCTGTTCTAAAACCTACTTGTTTAATGCAATCTCCATTGGCACACCAGGTTTCACTATAGCGATTTTCATCCATTCACTGCCCAAGTCCACAGACATCACAGCAACTGATTCTGCAACACACACAAAAATGTCAGTGAGAGCTGAAATTATTCACTCTAGATAAGAAAACCACAATGTAAATATATAACGCACATTTACATATCTTGATAGATTTAAATTCATCCTGAAGGACATCACCAAAGGAAACTTAGAAGTAATTTAAGACTATAATCACAATTTATGTGGTGCTTACCTGTTTGAGAAGGCAGGAATGCTACTAATAGGCAAAAAACAGCCCATAAAGACAGCCTTTCCCTCATTGTGACCTGCAGGAAAGAAACAAAGACTGGATCAACAGCATGTAGGCTAAAAGTAAAAGCTCTGCACAAAAACAGGAAGCATATCAAAAGTTCCCTCAAATCATCATCTCAAACACCATTACTAAAACTGACAATCCTACATCACAACTGTGATATGAAAAACTGCCCGAATGCCAAATATGGATGTGTAGGTGGACACACTCAGTCAGTGGCAGGTGTAGACAGGTACATGCTGATTTGATCCCATCCACAAGTCTGAGACAAAGCTTGAGAACATGTGGATCACAAACCTAGTTCCCGGAGGCCCCCCAAAAGTACCTTTTGGATGTTGTCTTAATAAAACACAGCTGATTTAACCGTTCAGTTCTGTAGCAGAAACCCCCAAAACCTGAAATGTGTGTCATATAAGGGTCCCATCAAAAAATATTTTGAGGGGCCTCCAGGAAGCACTTTTGCAGCGCTTTCCTGCAGAATTCAGACATCAGAGCTAAGGTGTAAAAAGAATACAAGGAGACTATAGTTAATATATGTTCACAAATCTCATTTGGCTTCATTTTTACAGTCACATGTCTTCTATTTGTAATGCGGATTCAAAAATGCAAAGTGGAAACTTCTAGTTGCACAGCCTGTGTGACATAAGCTTGAATGAGGCTGCCTGATCCTGATGGGAAGAGCATCATGGCCATGTCAAAGTGTCATTTCACTGCTTGATAAAGTGAACATTGTAAACAGAACGCTTTCTTTTTACATATAAGAAAATGCAACTGATGGTCTGGTAGATGTACTACTGCACTAGACTGATTTGTGAACATATGCAACCACTCAGATAAGCCCAAACATCTCCAACAAAGAAAGTGATGGCATGGCACTTACCTTCAGTCAGATCAAGTATTATATTGGCTCTTGTTGACTGGTAAATCCCTCTTGACACCTGAACAACAATATTTAGAAACGCTTACCCTGCCCTAATTATGAACCACAACTTTTCTGCGTTAAACCTTAATATCTAACGTCTTACAGAAGGCTGGGAGATCGCATTAACAGCAATGCCCTGTGAGCACACCACCTCACTTGCTTGATTTTGCTCTTGCACTCACCGGCTTGTTCTAACACATTGGGCCCGGAACGCGGCGTGATCTCATTGGATCCACACAACTCGCCGCTCGCCGAGGCAAGCGCTAATCGCTATGCTCGTAAGTCCCGCCTCTTTACCCTTGAATGGAGAACGCTGATTGGTCCACGTGCCAACCAGTGCGCGAGAGTGGTCAGTCGTGTAAGTAAGCACGGACCTGATTGGTCCACGTGAAATAGGGGAACACAACGGCTGTGCGGGAGCCCGACTCATCTCTGCGAATATATTCACTTGAACAGTTCATTTCAAAGAAACGATTCAGTGGTTCTTTTACGTCATTCTTTGCATCTATGACATGTTATAAAACGGCCCAATTAAAAAAAAAGAAAAAAAAGATAAAACGGCCCAATAAAGTTATACGGCAAATTTCTGTTTATTACGTTTTTCATGAAATAAAATTATATTTATTAAACCAACTTTCTTCATATGTACGTTTATACTTGTAACATTTCTGCTGTTTGGCTATAAAAGTAACCTAATCACGAATCACGATCAAAGAGACGACAAAGAAAAGGGACTGCTGACACATGAAACGCACGGATTCGTTCAGTCCCATTCGCGAACCGGTTCCAGAGATTCATTGAAAAGATCCGAATCAAAAGAACAGTTCGTTCACGAATCGGACTTAGCAGGTTAATTTTCTGTTGTATTATGTCTTTTGGCCATAATAATAACTTTTGAAAGCATACATTTAAATTAAATATGTACATTTTTTCTTATAATTTTCTATTTGGTGTGTATTTTTGGCTTAAAAAACAGCATCAATTATTTAATCTACATTTAATGTTTAAATTAATTTGATCAATTTAATTCGTGGCTTGTTGTGTGCAACCTTAAAAATATTACCGCGAATACAGAAAACAAGAATAGCTTGACACTAGTCACATGACCGTGATGTGAGTCACATGGTTTTGCTAAACAAGAACTGCTTGGAGAATGGCAGCGTTCTTACAGTGGAGACGTTTTGTGTTTTTCGATAAAGAAACGGTGAAAGATCCGAGCGAAAATGGGAAAAATTTCCAACTACCGGTGGGAATATCGGCTTGTGATTCAGGTCGAGGACACATTGTGCTTGGAGATATCCTTAATAAACTGAAGTCATGCTTGAGGCTAGTTAGCAATGATGAATCTAATAAACAATAATACTACGTATATTTCATAATCATAGTTGTATAAGTCAAATTGTAGCGTATTTTAATAGGTTGCAGTAAACCTGCTTTGTAAAATGGATAATGGCATTGTATTTTCTTTTATATTTTTCATGAATCCAACATTCAGTCCTTTCTGGATGATTAAATATAATGATTTTAGTTATGCCATATGTGTCCGTTTTCTTTAACTCATGCAATGCACATATGGACGGGCAGATCTGGTTTTTGACCCGCTCCCTGCAGCTGTCCAGCTTTCAGGCTTATAAGCTGCGCGTGACACACCTGTACCAGCTGAAACAACACAACATCCTGGTGTCTGTGGGTCAGGATGAAGCTGGCATCAATCCTCTGGTAAGAATCACGACAGGTGTCTGCTGAAGATACGTGTCAGTGCAAGAGCAGAGCTGTGTGTGCTTTAGAGATGCAAGTTGATTTCTAAAGTGCATGTGTTTGCCCATCAGGTGAAGGTGTGGAACCTTGATAAGAAGGACAGCGGCAGTCCTCTGTGTACCCGGATATTCCCTGCCATACCTGGAAACAAACCTACTGAAGTGTCTTGTCTCAGTGTACATGAAAACCTTAATTTCATGGCTATAGGTAGGATTTTTAAAATATAAATTATAGGTAATTAAAACAATTTACTTAAAATAAAATACATGTTAACTGAAATAAAAGTATAAAATAAAATAAAAAAAATTTCATTCAGTTTAACTATATTTAAAATCACAAAAACTAATAAAAGTCAAAAGCACAACAAAATTACTAAAATGAACTCAAATTAAAATGGAAAAATATAAAAATAAATCTAATTGATAATATTAATATTTTAATTATACTATAATAACACTGTCAGTAATATCTGTGTTGAATGCTCAGGTTTTACAGATGGCAGTGTTGTGCTGACGAAGGGTGACATAACCAGAGACAGACACAGTAAAACTCTCAGCCTCCATGAGGGCAACTGTCCAATCACAGGCCTGGCTTTCCGGCAGGCTGGCAAAGTCACACACCTGTTTGTCGCCACTTTAGAAAAAGTGCAGGTACATGTTATTTACATGGAATGTGATTTTCTTCATCTTTGGAAAAGCGTGTAAATCCAGATGAAAATCATGCCGAACTGAAAGCAGCATTATTCTTATGTTGACAGTGTTACACATTATCAGTGAAAGAGTACCCTCGTATAGAACTGGACACACACGGCTGTGCCCTTTACTGCTCGGCGCTCACAGACCCCTCGCAGGACTCACAGTTCATAGTGGCTGGAGATGACTGTGTGTATTTGTACCAACCCGATGAGAGAGGACCCTGTTTTGCTTTCGATGGGCACAAACTTCTAACTCACTGGCACAGAGGATACCTGCTGCTACTCACACACAATAACAAGTCACCCAAGTAAGACTCATTATTGCCTCTGCTCACTCAAGCCGGCCTCTGCTCACTCTAGGCCGTGGCTCACTCTAGGCCTCCGGCCTCCGCTTACTCAAGGCTGCAGTGTGTGACGCTGTTTCGTTGTGAAAGCGAAACAACTTTGTTTGGCCTTCCAAAAGAGGACACGACTAGAAATCAGTGGTTAAGTTGTATTTACAACACTGTTCCAGAACAGTTTAACCCAAATATTCAGATGTGTCCAGCACATTTTATGGAGGACTGTTTCCTGATCCTGGTAGAGTAGACTACAATGCCGGCTGTTCTGACTCACAGACTGTAAGTACGTTTTTTTTAAGTATGAAGAATTTGCCACTGACGATTCAAACGTGAGTTTTGAGCAGTGTAGAGTAGCACTTGTTGTTTGTCATTTCTCCGATCACAAATGCAGACATGGTTTTATGTTTACGCGGCGCGATGCAATGCAACACGTAAAAAGACAGTATAAGTCATCCGTAATTATGTCCCCACTGGATGCAACAAATGCCTCATTTATAATGGGTTTTAATGTTTATGTCTCGTCGCTCCGGCCGGACAGGGCATCATCACAGTATGGTAGGGGCGTAACATTTCTGTCACACGCTTGAGGTATCCGGCCAATCACAACGCACTGGATAGCTGGCCAATCAGAGCACACCTCGCTTTTCAGACCGATGAGCTTTGTAAAAATCGAAGCGTTTCAGAAAGGCGGGGCATAGAGGAGAAATAATAATGTACAGTATGTGGAAAATAATGTGTTTTTTGAACCTTAAACCGCATAAACACATTTCATTACACCAGATACACCAAATAATGTTCTTTTTAGCAGCATCATATAACCCCTTTAATACGCATTCACATTTTTGACATTTAACTTGTGCAGATCTGATTATGGCAGCAGACAGACATCCCCTACAGAAAAGCACATCCTGACCATTTATGACCTTGACAACAAGTTCATCGCTTACAGTGCGGCGTTTGATGATGTCATTGACGTTCTGGCAGAATGGGGCTCTTTTTATGTCCTTACGAGGGACAAAACACTGTATATGCTGCAAGAAAAAGACACGCAGACCAAGCTAGAGGTTAGTACAGTGTTATTATCATTAAAGGAAACTTTTTTTTAATCTAAAATAAAAAGTAATATATACCACCATTCAAAAACGTATTATTTAGATGCTGTTTAAGAAGAACCTGTTTGTGATGGCCATTAACTTGGCTAAAAGTCAACATCTGGACAATGATGGTCTGTCTGAGATATTCAGACAGTATGGAGACCATCTCTACGTCAAAGGGGATCATGATGGAGCTATTCAGCAGTATATTCGGTATATTTGCAGCTCAAATTTTTTGTTACACATTTCATTGAAAATCAGGCAAGTCATGTTTACCTCTTGATCTTCTGTCTCTCTCAGCACCATTGGGAAGCTCGAGCCCTCATACGTAATCCGTAAATTTTTGGATGCACAAAGGATACACAACTTGACAGCGTACCTACAGGCCCTCCACAGGCAATCGCTGGCCAACGCTGACCACACTACTCTACTGCTCAACTGTTACACCAAACTGAAGGACAGCTCCAAGCTGGAAGAGTTCATAAAGGTCTGTAGAAAAGAGATTTGGGCCTGAATTTGTATTGACCACTAACAATGCTTTTTATACTCTGCATCCTTCCTCTGAATGTAGAGCAATGAAAGTGAGGTGCATTTCGATGTTGAAATTGCCATCAAGGTGTTACGTCAGGCCGGTTATCACAGTCACGCCGTGTTTCTGGCAGAGAGACACATGCACCATGAATGGTATCTAAAGATCCAGCTAGAGGATTTGAAGGTCAATATATGATATGAACTGTTGTAATGCTTTTTAACAAGTTTATGTAAGCCAATACTTAAGCCAATACTCCTTTTCAGAATTATCAGGAGGCTTTACGCTACATTGGAAGGTTGCCATTTGATCAGGCAGAGAGCAATATGAAGCGTTACGGAAAAATTTTAATGCACCATGTGCCTGAAAGCACCACCATCCTCTTAAAACACCTTTGCACCGACTATCACCCCAGCAAAGACTCAACCGACAGGGACAGCCTGGACAGGCCTGCGGAAAACAAGGTAATTCATTTGGATTAGCATTAGCACCTTCAAATAATCTGACATTGTCAAGAACATAGTGAGTTAAGCCAGATGATTTGAGATTGTACCTCAACATTTTCTTACCTTTTTACAGGCCAATCCAGAAGAGTTCATCCCAGTCTTTGCCAATAACCCACGAGAGCTGCGAGCGTTCCTGGAACACATGATCAAGGTGGATCCGTTCTCACCTGAGGGAGTTTATGACACTCTGCTAGAGCTCAGACTACAGGACTGGGCACATGAGCAGGACCCAGGGGTAAAAACATGCTTTGTGCAATCTGTAAACATACCACACATATATCTGTCACATTATATTACGTTATCATTGACAACATCTACACCTGCAAATGCTGATGGAGAGCTTTGCAGATTTCTGAAGAATTTGACTTTTTCAATTTATCAATTTGATTTATCAGATATTTTTGTTAATTTGATTATGATTTTAGGCAATTAGTAAAAGCGTGGTACTCCATAAAACGTATTTTACCTTATTTAGGACAATTCTGCAGATTCCCAAAACTGAAAATCAATATTTCATACTGTACATTATAAAACATTGTATAATGCACAGAATAAGGTAGCATTTAACAAGATTGATTTTAGCTTTTATTTTTTTAAATAAATTTTTTTAAAAATTTTAGTGTTTAGACATTTTCTTCTTCTTTTTTAATCAGTTTTTGGCCATAAAATTATTTTAAGTTTATCACTGTCCAGAGTTTTAATATCAATGCATCTCGGGGAAAAAAATTATACAGATTCCATGTGGCCATAGCTTATCACATTGTAGCTGCATTATGAAGTATAATCTCAAAACCATTTTTACATTTTTTGGGGGTAAATTTCAATTGCTTACTGTTGTAAAAGCATAAACTGCAGGAATCACATCGCTCTTTCTGTCTTTTGTCTGACAGAAGAAGAAAGTCCTGCAGGAGGCAGCACTGTCCCTGCTGAGGAGCGACAACACTGTGTTTGACAAAGCCCTGGTACTCTGCCAGATGCACAACTTCAAGGAAGGAGTGCTGTATCTGTATGAAAAGGGCAAACTGTAAGCGCTATTCCTTATCATTGTGATCTCACTTATTCAGAACGTGCTATAAAAGTTATCTACATAACTTCTACAGCTTTGTGTGACAACAGACCACAATTACTGACTGAATTCCTTTCGGAATTTAATCATCTAATCTAAACTTGCATTACATTGAGCTTTCACAACTAATAACAGCACAAAAGCAAAAGTGACAGAACAGCCTATTTCTGCAGGTACCAGCAGATCATGCATTACCACATGCAGAATGAGGAGTACGGGAAAGTCGTGGAGGCCTGTAAACGTTATGGGGACAGTGAGGTGTGTTTGTGGGAACAGGCTCTGGGCTATTTTGCACGCAAAGAAGAAAACTGCAAGGCCTACATAAGTGAAGTCCTGCAGCACATTGATGAAAATAACTTGATGCCTCCACTTCTGGGTGAGTAAAAGGCAACAAAAAAGTTGTTGGTCGCACCTCTGTTGTGTATTTCACACATCTAAACATGACTGCATGACCTTTCAACACAGTTCATACTTTTTCGGTTCTCTTTGCTCTTCACCTTCCAGTGAACTATATTAGTTATAATATTTGTAGTGCTGTTCATACTGTTCAGCATATTTTTGACCTTAAATGAATGTCTGTGTTGTAGTGGTGCAGACTTTGGCTCATAACTCCACAGCATCACTGTCAGTCATAAAAGACTACCTGATAAATAAAATGGAGCGGGAGACCCAGCAGATTGAGGGAGATGAAAGGAAGATTCGACAGTATAGAGAGGAAACGGCCCATCTTCGTGCTGAAATACAAGAACTTAAAACCTGGTGAGCAAATCAAGGATTCATTCTTTAGTCAACGTCATTAAAAAAAATGGATGCTACAATTGATAGTATAGGAATGTCATTGTATATTTAAACAAATGACATTGCTCTTTCAGTGCAAAGATCTTCCAGAAGACCAAGTGCAGCATGTGCAACAGCCCACTAGAGCTGCCATCTGTGCACTTCCTGTGTGGCCACTCTTTCCATCAGCATTGCCTTGAGAGCTTTGCAGAGAGCGAGGCCGAGTGCCCCACCTGCACCCCTGAGAACAGGAAAGTGATGGACATGTTGCGTGTGCAAGATCAGAAACGAGATCTGCATGATAATTTCCACAGACAGGTACCGTTTTTCCTCCTGCAGGACATGCTGAATTGATCAAAGGTGCCAGTTAACTAAATAGAATTTCTCTCTCTCGTAGCTCAAATGCTCTAATGACGGCTTCTCAGTCATCGCTGACTATTTTGGCCGTGGAGTGTTTAACAAACTCACTCTGATAACGGATCCTCCTGGAGGAAAGAGTGGAGCTGGGAATCTGGAGGCTGAATTCAACCGAGATCTGCTCATTAACACCAAGAGGAATGTTTGAGAGCCGGACTGGAGTTCATGTTAAAAGAAGAAGTCTGACTCTGGTCTGCTCCAGAAACAGCTTGAACGGCCTTTAAACAAATCCAAATTAACCACGCAACTCCTCTTCTTGGTGTTGATTTATTTATAGGCCGGATTGCGGAGAGCAAGATGACAGCTCGTGCAGAATGTCTTCACATCTGTGTAGTCTCCAACATCAGATCAGCATAAAGTGGAAAGTATCAAAACCACAGTGGGTGATAACATTTAAGATCTTGCACTTCAAGACTGTGACCTTTTCAAGCTTTGAATTCAGCTGCCGTAAGCACACTATAGAAGACAACTTGCACAACTTACTTTTGCATCCCTTAATAATTTATGTATAATATTTAATTAGTATTGCAACCATTCATTAGTGCAGATAAAGCAACTAATCAACAATAATCAATGTCAAATGCCTATAAAAGTGTCTTTAATAAATGTAAAACATCATTGACTTGTAATTACATTGTATTTTTTGTATTATCTCAGATGTTTGTTGAGATCTTAATTTGTCATGAATTAATAAAAATGAAATATTTACACAGTATGTTACATCGCAGAGGCCAAAGAATACAGAAATGTGTACAAAAATATTTTGAAGTCACTAATCGTTGGAAAACCAATGAACAAATCTACCTTAATTTATTTACACCTTTGCTAGTGTCTTGAGTCTAGTTTGCAAAATTATTTGGCGAGTTAGAAAAGTTTGCAAAGCTAAACAGCTGAACCAGCAAGAAAAGATGCTAAGAACCACATCCACATCCTGTTCTCAAGAGCTGATCCATGATGCATAGAACTGCTATGTCTCTGATGACTGCAAAAAAGCTTGGTTAAAATCACCTTTTTTAAATCTTGAAACTGTTTTAACCACAAAACCACCATGGCTTAATGTGTTCAAACAATATACACTTTCAAAAGGTTCCCCAATCACAAGGGTGCCCAAACTCGGTCCTGGAGGGCTGGTGTCCTGCAGAGTTTAGCTCCAACCCCAATTATGGGAAGTTCGGCTCTTTTCAAAGATTCGGCTCTTTTGGCTCGGCTCCCTTAGAAGAGCTGGCTCTTGCGGCTCCCAAATGGCTCTTTATTTAGTATCACTCAGAACCTTCTATTTTAGCACAATTTAGCAAATGTGAATGGTTTGTGTGTTGGTAAGCAGTTTTCATAAAATCCTTATTTTTATGCATTTTTTTCGTTACAAAGAAAAAATACACAGATACTATTATTTAACACTTTAATAAAACTTTAATTGAACACAGAACCACATCAAACAAACAAATAAAGGCAAAACTTAACATTAAGCCACTTTAGTCAGAAATTTCATTTCATTGCGAAATATCAGATGCCTCAGCTTGGATGTGCTGATGCGATTTCTCCTCTCTGATTATTTGTCCTGTTTATGAGAAGACTCTCTGAGGGGACCGATGTTGCAACAATGTCTTGCTACCATAACATTCTTAACATCATATTGTTGATGGCTTTTTTTTGTATGTTTGTGAAACCAATGACAGTCTTCTCAAGCTCTGCTTAACCCTGTGACTCAAATCACAAATCTCAGCTTTACACTACTCACTCAAGCTCAGTTTAGTGTCACAGATAAAGACCAAGCATAAAGAGACAGTTAATTGATTCAGTAAATTATGTTTCCCTAGTTACATAATGCTTTTGAGTTTTTCTGCTCTTTCTCCCGCCATATTTCAGCAGACTGAAGGAAACCACATGGTTTCTCAATGGTGTGAGTGAACAATTCGAGTTTAGCAGTAAACTTTTAGGATTTAAGACTTATTTTTTCAGGACTACAGCCATTCAATTAGTTTGAGTTTTTCTGCTCTTTCTCCCGCCATATTTCAGCAGACTGAGGGAAACCACATGGTTTCTCAATGGTGTGAGTGAACAATTCGAGTTTAGCAGTAAACTTTTAGGATTTAAGACTTATTTTTTCAGGACTACAGCCATTCAATTAGCATGTGTGCTAAAACACTTAAGCAAATGCATACGGCTCGTCCAATGCAATTGTGATGTCCATGTCAAATAAAATTTAATAATAATAATAATCTGCCTGACAGGTATTAATTAGACAGGCGTCATTTAAGCTAAACATATTATATAACTTTTTGTGGACTGGAAAAGTAATTTTGTATTTGTTTCAACATTGTATTTTCTCAAGATTACTTTGAAAGGATTTAGAAACTTTTATTAACAGGAAACGGGCGTATAATAGAAATGTTTGATGCATAATGTATAATGTTGCTTATGTGCTTTTTATTTTTAGAACGTAAAGAGAATTAATTTTATTAGGAAAATACCATATACGTAAAAAAAAGGGGGTTTTGCAAATCAAACTATAAAGGACTTTAAACTATACACAAACCTGCAATGTTTTTAAAGCACTAAAAGTAATGCATCTCTTTTTTGGCAGCTAAAGTTGTTAATAATGTGACCATCGTGTAATACCTCTTGTTCTTGTGCCAGCATCTGTCTCACGCACTTCCGCTGAACAGCTCGCGAGATCAAGTTTCCTTGGCAACAATACACCGTGTTTTCATGGAGAAGTCTGAGCGACAAAAGGTTTGTTATTATTATTAATGTCAATAATTGAATCTTGCGTACCATGTTAAATACGTAAGAATTTCTTTAAGACACGAATGTAGTGTATTTTCTGGCTCGCTATTCGATGTAGCTCGTAAATCAATGTAGCGCGCCCATCAAACACCAAGCTACAGTAAAACATTGTTATTCCTTAATGTCTGCGTGTCACATTTAGTCTAAAAATGTTATCTAAAAGATACTGGTTATTAGTTGCTTCCTAAACGGTTTTTGGTAGGTTATAATAGTCCCGTAAAGCAAAAAAGCTAAACCTGCGTCTCTAAACTCAGTAACGTTATGCTGCCTAACTTACCTAGACAGCATTTTAGGGCATCATAGACATGTTCTGAGTCAGCAGCGTTTTGGTATCACTATGACTCAAAAATACATTCTAGATAGGCATCTCGCTAGGTTATGAGACCCAGGGCCAGTTGCATAAACTTAGCCTCCATGTTAAGACTGTGTCTTAAGAACTAACGTTAGTTTGACCAACTAGAAGTTGCCAAGGGGTAATCAGTCTTACTCCAATACAAATAAGACCAATCTGCCTTTTCATAACTGAATTAAAAAAGTTATGACCAGTCTTGAGGGAAAAAAATGTAGATGATTATTAACTTTTTAAGACTAGTCTAAACAGTTTATGCAACTGGCCCCCAGTTTTAGTAAAAACTAAAAAGTGCAAATAATATCTGCAAACAGATTCAACTCAAAACCAACCAGCCATACGACGAGAGTTTTGAGGTGAATGCAGAGGAGGCAGCCAGTGTGCATACACCATCCCCAAGACAGATAGGTCAGACTGTTTACCACCTCTTTACAGTTTACATACCATTCATCAACTGTTTTTCATGCCATTATGTCTTTATTTCAGTTTCCAGGAGGACAGGCAGGCAGAAGCAGAGCGCCATGGCCACTTATGCTGGCGATAAACTAGAAGAGGACACTAAAGTAAGTTCACTCACTCTTACTTGGGGAAAGGATAAAATGAAGTTTGAATGACCTGTGTTCATATCTGACAGCAGAGAAAGAAAGAGCCGCCACCTGGTGCTCGTGCTACTAATCAGAATGATGAAGAGGATGAGGATGAGGATGATGATGATGACGATGATGATTCTGATGACACAGAGTCTGATGAGGAGGAAGGGGAGCCTGGATCTGCTCCAGAAGGGTAGGACCGCTCATTTGAGACACTGTCTGCTGTCCAAGATGAGAGAGATTGATTGATTTTAATGAAACTGTATCAAAGAGGAGATATACAGTGATGAAGTGGACAAGTTGTATAAGTTGCAACACTTTTCAGTAATATGTTTTATCAATAGTACTAAGAGCATTATACAGTAGTTATAATATCTACTCAAAACAAAAAGCTACTTTATTATTTTTGAAAATAATGTGGATGTGTGTGTGTTTGTGTGTGTGTGGATGATTTCTCACAGTGCATACGACCCAGCCGATTATGAACATCTTCCTGTGACAGCTGAGATCAAAGAGCTGTTTCAGTACATCACAAGGTTAGCAAGCACCAACTTCACTGCATTTGATGTGCACCTGCACACAAAACACAAACAGAACAACATCTGGCAAACTGACCTTTAACACTCTTTCACTGCAAATGAGTGTTTCTTCAATTATGAGCACTTTTGACCCTGTCGACATTAAGAAATCTTATTTATTACATTTGTTTGCAAACAATGTCTAACAGTGAATATACATAACATCACAGGAGAATTCTGTAATTTTTTTCTAGATGTACATGAACATCTCAAAATATGTATTGAGTTGGTGGTGGAAACGATGAAAATTTAAATTAAAATAATATTTTCAAACTTTTACATTTGCTAAAATTAGAAATGCACAGTAAGTAATATTTTGGTAATTTTAATATAATTGTTTATATAGTAAAAAAAATAAAGTTTTAAAATGCTAAAAAGACCGTTTTAATGTTAACTTTTATTGAAAAAAAATCAACCTGTGAGACATAAGAAACTCAAAATACACTCTTTTGACTTGTAGATATCTCATGGATTCTTACTGGTATTAATTGCATGAGTGTTTCTTTCAGATATACTCCACAGACAATAGAGCTTGACCACAAACTGAAGCCCTTTATCCCTGATTTCATCCCAACTGTGGGGGACATTGATGCTTTCCTCAAAGTGAGTGAAAATGTTCAAATCTGAACCGGACATGAATGTCCAGTTTTCAGTTTCTGAATCATTCTGTTCAACCCACAGGTACCACGACCAGATGGGAAGGCTGACAATCTGGGTCTCCTGGTTCTGGATGAGCCGTGCACTAAACAGTCAGACCCAACAGTGCTTTCCCTGTGGCTGTCAGAGAACAGCAAACAACACAATGTTGCTGTGAGTTCACACACTCGCACTAGATGACTTAAGGTGCTTCGTTTATTTTGGCCTAGCAAGTGAAATGAGAAAGTGATGCACATCTGTTTCACAGGAAGTGAAAGTCAAGAGCATTGAAAACCCAGAAAAGAACCCCAAAGCCATAGACAACTGGATCGAGAGCATTAGTGAGCTGCATCGGTCCAAGCCTCCAGCTACCGTACACTACACAAGGAAAGCACTGACATGAACCAACCACAAACATCCAAAGAGCAGAACACAACATCTATGTCATTTTGTAACAAGAGTCTTGTATATTTCTCCAGACCCATGCCAGATATTGACAGCCTGATGCAAGAGTGGCCGCCTGAGTTTGAGGAGCTTTTGGGGAAGGTTAGCTCCACTCAAATATGTTGTTTAAATACCTTTCTGCAAATTCAGTCATGTTCACCTTCACTTCTCCATCTGTTCATCAGGTGAATCTCCCCACCGCAGATATTGACTGTGATTTGGCAGAGTATGTCGACATTATTTGCGGTAAGTTGCATGTTTCTTGTATTTACATCTTTGATGCTTTTGATCTTTTTTTTTTGTAATGACTGTTAGTGTAACCTGTCAGGAATCCTGGACATCCCTGTGTACAAGAACCGGATTCACTCACTTCACGTGCTGTTCACACTCTACTCTGAATTCAAAAACTCACAGGTTAGTTTCAGATACTCTACCATATTAAATACAATAAAAAAATGCTTTTCACAATCTGAAAATGCTGATTACTTGTTTTGCATTATTTGTATTTAGTGGCATTTATTTACTTTTTTTTTGTAAAGCACAGGATTTGAAATGTTTCAGTTCTGGGTTGTATTATTGATGAGCTCGTTTTGTTTCTCCTGTGATCAGCACTTTAGATCTGTAGCGGAGGGCCAGAAATCCGACACACCGCCTGCTTCACGAACAGCCACTGCTGAATTAGAAAGACTCACTTTGGACTGAAGTCTCCTTCGTGGCCTATTTTCATACATCCTGTTTCGTTCTTAGCTGTTGTGTCACCAGTTGTAGCTGTGAAGTTACATTCTGTTACGCATGTCAGATTGTGTGAATTCTTCATATGTTTATGTTTAGCAGACTTGTTTTAGTAAAAACTAATTTCTTCAAACTGTAGACTGGAAATGTGTCTTCAAAAATCATCAAATCGTCTCCATAATCCACTGCCTAATTATTTCACAGTTTGCAATGAATTGGTCTTTTCTTATTAAAAGGTAAAACCAGATGATGATGGGTTTCCTTGTTTAACTCCACTTCTTAAATTAATAGATGATTTATGACCTAGACTCTATATACTGTTAAATAACAGTAAGACAATAAATATCCAATAAAAATAATACTGAATTCAACTGAATCAACAATAAACACTGAGAGGCATCTGGTGATTTAGCAAAGTAGAATGATATAAATATACATAATATATAAACCATAATCAGTTTTAGACATTTAAATGATATGTTGAACCAGAGCAAGTTGTTTTTTTAATGAATTAATAATTGATCTGATATATACAATGTAAAACATGTAAATGAGGCGTTGTCTAATATATCATCTGAATAAGAGCAGCCCTGCCTTCCTTGTTCTAACTGCTTTTTATTTTCCTGTCGTGGTTTTTAGTGTCTATTCTTAACTCTGAGGTGGCAGCAGTTTTGAGTGCTATAAAGAGGATCATATAAAGAATGTCTACATATTTGAATGGTTTGATGAATGATTATGAATCAAATAATATACCGATTTAGCTACTAGAAAATCTAGAAGTCTATATCAAGAAGTCTAACTTCTGACTTACGATGCCTGGATGTTTCATTCATGTTTGGCTGTTTTTCTTTGCTGTATTGGGCAAGTATGACTAATAATTTCTATTGCTAGATAGTAAATAATATTTATAATTTTCAAAAGCTAGATATATTACATAAATGATGTTTACGTAATAGCCAACAATAATTTCATCTGTCAGCCAATTACTACATTTTACTTTTATTGTCCTTCATATGATATAGTGTCTTTCACTCAGAAGTATTTGTTTATTAATAATAACGAACATACATATTGATTGACAGTGAGAGAAATTAAAGTCAAAGAAGTGAAGACGGGCCTATACAGTCGTGTTGAGCTCACTGGAGAGGAACTTGATCAAAATACTGCAGATTCTCTGAAGTCAGTGGAATGGACCAAACAAAATGGATCGATAACATGTCTATGTATTTCAAAAACAAATACATTCAATGCTTCATACAGTCAATGCTGTGGAACGGCTCATTTCTATTTAAACAACAACACCCTCATTCTGGAGAGAGTGACAGCCAGGGATGAAGGAGTCTTCATTGAAACTATAGTTACAGGAAATGGAACTACAAAACGCCTAAACTTTACATTAATTATTCAATGTAAGTCAGCCAAATCAGAGTCGAGCTTATTCATGTAGAATTCATCTAATTATGCTGTGCTTGTGCTCATTAACATATTTTACTTTAAGATCCTCCAAATGCAACAGAAATTGTGGTCTCCTGGACCTCCAGCACATCTGTGGCTCTCAAGTGTGAAGTGAGCGGTTTATTCCTGCATCTGATGTGGAAGAGAGAAGGAGTCCCTATTCTAGAGAAACACAGACACTCGTTCAGTGAGAGGAACCAAACTCTACACATCAGCAACATAACCAGCTCTGAGTACGGCACGTACAGCTGTATTGCTTCAAATGCATATGGAGAATCAGAAAAGCACACATATATTACCAGTGAGCAGTACTTCATTCATTGTGCACCTTATATGAATTTGCTAAATCATGCCAGATTGTAATATTCTGTTTAGGACAGGAATTAAACCTAAAACATTTTTAAACACAAAGGCACTTCCTAAGACATCTTTAAACAGAAAGTAACACTGTGAAAAAGGAAGCTGCATTGCATAATCATGTATTTTTCTGGTTTTTATTTAAGGTGGAAACTCAACTGTCAACCAAGGAAATGGCACTAGATATAAAACTCAGTTTGATCAAACTGTGCTTTCAAGTGGACTTACACTCACCGGTGTTTTGGGACTATGCATCGTGTTCTACTGCCTTTACAAATACCATCACAGTAAGATTTTCTCCCAAATACATAATCAATGTTCATAAATGTTGCTTTAGCAAAATAATAACTCTTTGTTTATGAAACCCACATCCTCCATGATTTAGGTTGATTCTGTGATTGTTTATTCAGTTTTTCAGTCTCAATACCTCGTAATCTCAACATGTCAGTTCTCACCCAAATATTCTCACAGGAAGAGTAGTACGAACCACTGACAAATTTTCCTCAACAAAACTCACCAGATTCTCTGCAGACTATCCTGAAATACATGGCATGTATAGTATTATAAAATGCACTGTGTAAAATTAGATTTTGTGTAGTGTATTTTACATTGGTTGTATTTTTAAGGCCAAAGAGTGGAAATTGGCTGAACTACAGATGAAGGTTAAAAAAAAATCTGAGCTGCAACTAATATTATACAGTATCTTATAAGTTATAACCGCACTCTTTAATACACAGGGGATGCAGGCAATGTCCATGGAATTTATCAGGTAATGCACAAAAAGGCATAAACAGATAAATAATGATTTCAGTATACACAGTTTGATGGACATTAATATGATTAACATTTATTATCTTTAACTTGAAGATCCCATAAAAATAAATACTGCCGTTTTGTGGCTGTTATTCCATGTCTGTTAGCTTAAATGCCTCTATGCCCGTGCACATTAGCTTTAAGCACACATACACATTCCTCTTCCAGGAAAACAAACAATATTGATGACTCATCTTGCACTTGATCTTGTACACGGTTTCATCCAATAAAATGCTCTTTAAAATGAGAATGTTTCCTCATCCTGTTATCACTTGCTTTCGGCTAGTACCTAATCATGGTTCAGGTTGTAAAGTAACGTGTGACCTAAAAAGTTTCAATATGTCAACACAATCCTAAAGTCATTTTATGGGGTCTTTAAGTCAAATAACAAACTCTTTGTATCCAGTGGAATTCTATGAATGATTTATTTATATAATTGTTAATATACCTGTATACACTGACAACTCCTGTCTCTCAGGAAGTACCTGACTCTGAAGAGGTGACTTCCATCTTGTACGTCTACACAGACTTCATTAAGCCGAAAGAGAGCAGTCAGGCCTCCGCTGCAGCGCAACACTTTGAGGAGTTTGGTAACTCTGAGGTTGGAGCCATAGGCAGGGAAGAAACCGTCGTTCTGTACTGGGTCACTAATGATCAGTCCACAGCATGTCCTGAAACTGGAGAGGACAAATGATATTCTACAATATTCCATTAAATAATAATAATTGCTTTTCACAATCTACAAATGCTGAGGTACTTGTTTTGCATGATTTGTATCAAGTGGCATTTATTCACGTTTTGTAAAGCACAGGATTTGAAATGTTTCAGTTCTGGGTTGTATTATTGATGAGCTCGTTTTGTTTCTCCTGTGATCAGCACTTTAGATCTGTAGCGGAGGGCCAGAAATCCGACACACCGCCTGCTTCACGAACAGCCACTGCTGAATTAGAAAGACTCACTTTGGACTGAAGTCTCCTTTGTGGCCTATTTTCATACATCCTGTTTCGTTCTTAGCTGTTGTGTCACCAGTTGTAGCTGTGAAGTTACATTCTGTTACGCATGTCAGATTGTATGAATTCTTCATATGTTTATGTTTAGCAGACTTGTTTTAAAGGGTAAAACCAGAGGATGATGGGTTTCCTTGTTTAACTTCACTTCTTACATTAACAGATGTTTTATGTCACTTTACATTTAGTATCAGGGGATTCAGACTCTAGCTTTTATTAGGACATGTACTGTTAAATAACAGTAGGTATTGCATAAATATCCAGTTAAAATAATACTAAATTAAACTGATTCGACACTATACACCGAAAGGCATCTGGTGATTTAGCACAGCAAGATGACATTATAGCCATAATCAGTTTTAGACATTTAAATACGCTGAACGAGAGCAAGTTTTTTTTTCATGATGTAGTAATTGGTCTGATACATACAATATGAAACATGTAAATGAGGCGTTGTCTAATATATCATCTGAATAAGAGCAGCCCTGCCTTCTTCCTTGTTCTAACTGCTTTTTATTTTCCTGTCGTGGTTTTTAGTGTCCATTTTTTACTCTGAGGTGACAGTTTCAACTCCGAGTGTCACAGAAACTAGATCTACTGATTAATGGTTACCATTGTTAATAAAATGCTAATTTGACTACAAGAGGATTAAATCTAACTCCTGACTTATGATGCATGGATGTTTCATTCATATTTGGCTGTTTTTCTTCGCTGTATTTGGTAAGTATGGCAAATAAATTCTATAGCTAATAATTATTGCAGTGCCTCTGTTTTTTATTTTGTTAATGCATATGTGGTTTGTAATACATACATCGAATACATTTTAAAAAGCTAGATATGTAGTATATATGTGATGTTTACTTAAAGTACTACTTAAAGTTTACTTAAACTAACTTAATCTCTTTAGGCCAATTACTACATTCACATGTATAGTCATTTATAAGATATAGTTGATCTTTTACTCAGAAGTATTTGTTTATTAATAATAACGAACATACATATTGATTGACAGTGAGAGAAATTAAAGTCAAAGAAGTGAAGACGGGCCTATACAGTCGTGTTGAGCTCACTGGAGAGGAACTTGATCAAAATACTGCAGATTCTCTGAAGTCAGTGGAATGGACCAAACAAAATGGATCGATAACATGTCTATGTATTACAAAAACAAATACATCCAATGCTTCATACAGTCAATGCTGTGGAACGGCTCATTTCTATTTAAACAACAACACCCTCATTCTGGAGAGAGTGACAGCAAGGGATGAAGGAGTCTTCATTGAAACTATAGTTACAGGAAATGGAACTACAAAACGCCTAAACTTTACATTAATTATTCAATGTAAGTCAGCCAAATCAGAGTCGAGCTTATTCATGTAGAATTCATCTAATTATGCTGTGCTTGTGCTCATTAACATATTTTACTTTAAGATCCTCCAAATGCAACAGAAATTGTGGTCTCCTGGACCTCCAGCACATCTGTGGCTCTCAAGTGTGAAGTGAGCGGTTTATTCCTGCATCTGATGTGGAAGAGAGAAGGAGTCCCTATTCTAGAGAAACACAGACACTCGTTCAGTGAGAGGAACCAAACTCTACACATCAGCAACATAACCAGCTCTGAGTACGGCACGTACAGCTGTATTGCTTCAAATGCATATGGAGAATCAGAAAAGCACACATATATTACCAGTGAGCAGTACTTCATTCATTGTGCACCTTATATGAATTTGCTAAATCATGCCAGATTGTAATACTCTGTTTAGGACAGGAATTAAACCTAAAACATTTTTAAACACAAAGGCACTTCGTAAGACATCTTTAAACAGAAAGCAACATTGTGCTAAAGGAAGCTGCATTGCATAATAATGTATTTTTCTGGTTTTTATTTAAGGTGGAAACTCAACTGTCAACCAAGGAAATGGCACTAGATATAAAACTCAGGTTGATCAAACTGTGCTTTCAAGTGGACTTACACTCACCGGTGTTTTGGGACTGTGCATCGTGTTCTACTGCCTTTACAAATACCATCACAGTAAGATTTTCCCCCAAATACATAATGTTCATAAATGTTATGAATCTCATGTTATGAATAATTCAATGTTAAATGTATAAATTTTTATCATTTTTACTTTTAGACTTGCACTCTATTTATTTACTAACTGCTTGTTTTCTTTAAAAAAAAAACTACTCTAGAAAATGCTGGGTTAAATACAACCCAGTTCTGGGTAAAATATGGACAAACCCAGCAATTGGGTTGTTTTGACCCAGCACTTGGTTGTATTTAACCCAGCATTTTTTAGAGTGCAGCTTCTCTAACCTTTTTGTATTCTATCGGTTTTCTTTTTATTTATTATACAATTAACAAAAGCAAAAAAGGCCTCTAACACCAGCTTGCTCTATTCTTTTTCTATTCTATCAGTTTTCTTTTTATTTACTATATGATTTTAAAAAACCTTGCTACGTGTACTGCATTAAGCTAACTGAGACTTGTCAGCACTTGCATATCATTGCTCTTTTGTTGATTTTGATTGCTTCCATTGTCCTCATTTGTAAGTCGCTTTGGATAAAAGCATCTGCTAAATGTCTAAATGTAAATGTAATAACTCTTTGTTTAAGAAACCCACATCCTTCATGATTTAGGTTTATTCTGTGACTCAGATCATGAACCTCAATACCACGTAATCTCAGCATCTCACTTCTCACCCAAATGTTCTCACAAACACCAGTTTGAAAAAAGAAGCTTGAATCACAGAAACACAAAAACAGACCAATTTTCCCTTTTAAAAACTCCCCAGCTATTCAGCAGACTACCTAAAACAGAAAATACGTTTAAAAAAAATGTCATTTCTATTTTGTACAGAATGTTTTACTGTTGTTATATTTTTAGAACAAAGAGCAGAAAATGGCAGAACTACAGATGAAGGTATTAAAAATGAATCGATCTATCTATAAACTTGTATTAATTATATAATTATAATTAAATATACATACCAACTGTAATTGTATAATATCTGTGAAATATACTTCACAGGGGGTGCAGCCAATGACCTTGGTATTTATCAGGTAACAGACAAACAAAAGTATTAATAAACAGATCCTGCTGGGAAAAAAAAACAATAGACACCTTCCCAGAATTTGTAATGGTTTTAATGGTTATAATGGGAATTGTACTGGTTTTAATGTAAACTGCAATGGTGTTGGTCTCTACTGGTAATTGGTCGCCTTCTATTGGTGGCTTGTGGAACCACTAAATCCTAATGGAATATGTCCCAAAACACACTAGGAAACCATTTTTAATGGTTTTAACGGTTAAAAGTTGATTGTAATGGTATTTGTAGTGGAAACCATTAGAATTTCTGTGATGGTCTCTTGTTTTTTTCAGCTGGGATGTGTAACAATGAATTTAGTACACACTTAGATGGACGTTAATATGACGACATTTAAGGCACCATCTTCATTATCTTAAAGACCCCATGAAAATACAAAAAAAGAGAGAAGTGTTTTGGCTTTAATTCATATTTACAACCTTTGAGGCCTTTATATGCTAATGCATGCAACAAATCAAGCTTTCAGTAGATATTGACATTTACAATTTTTAGTCTAATCTTGCCCTCACAGGCATCACCGACATTTTGTCCAATAAAATTAAATGATAACCTCTACACTCGCCCTGTTACCACCTGCTTTTAACCAGCAAGTCATGGCTCATATTTGAAATGTAAGCTAAATGGAATGTAAGCTAAAGGCTAATAGCTTGGCTATTTTAAAAATGGACTCTTTCTGTTATATTTCTAATAACTGTCAATCACATCTAATTATAATATTAATAGCCTATATTATTACCTATAAGAAACATAACATTTTTGTATACAGCATTAAAAGCTTTAAATACTGCTTTTGTCCTGTTGTGTGAACACTTAAATATTTAATTGTGTGCTTAATATTCTCACAATTTCCATACAAAGCGCTGCACCGGAAGTTGAGGTAGTCACTAAGCCTAAATGCTACTGTCAAGTCATTTCATTGGGTCTTTAAGTCATGAAACAAACCCCTATTAATAATACCCGTTTACTCCGACCACTCCTGTCTCTCAGGAAGTACCTGACCACGAAGAGGTGACTCCTTTACCGTACGTCTACACAGACTTCATTAAGCCGAAAGAGAGCAGTCAGGCCTCCGCTGCAGCGCAATACTTTGAGGACTTTGGTTACTCTGAGGTAGGGCCCACATGCAGGGAACGTGTCTCCAATGAAGAGTCCACAGCGTGTCCTGAAGCTGGAGAGGAATGACAACTGAAATAAGAGACTACAAAACATGTTGGCGTGAAAACAGCGAATACTAACTTACTTTCATATTCATGAATCTGGTGCAGCGCAACAGATTTATAAGTGGAAAAAACACGTTACATCCTGATCAACCACTAGAGGGCAGCAAAAACAGCTGAAAACATACACTCAGAAAAAGGTACAAAGCTGTCACTGGAGTGGCATCAAGGTACAAAAGCTAAAAGGTACAACCTTAGGTGTATATTAGTATCTTAAATGCACATATTAGTATTTTAACAGTATACCTTTTTGAATGGGTACCGCCTCAGTGACAGTTCCCCCCATAGTATGCAAACTATAAGAGGTCGTAAGTATCCACCCTACACATTAGTGACTGTCGTACACCGTGATTAGATAAATGACTTGTGCCTTTCAGAACAAAGTGGTTTGTCTTGCATGACGAACTCTGTTAAAGGGTCAGTTTATTAAATTCGACATATCATGGAGTCAGCTGCAGGTTAACTGATGTTAAAAGGCAAATCTAGATGCCAGTAAAGAGGTCTAGATGCACTCTCACAGTGCACAGTAAGAGACCAAAACAGGTCGAAGCATTTGAGAGACAGCTGTCAATCTTCTGAAGAGTGTACATGTTTCATCAAATCTTTTGTTTACATTTTATAGAGTACCTTCATGTATGCCTAAAGCAATGTCTTAATTGAGATTCCTCAAAGCAACCAGGAATATACTGCAACCGGATGCAAAGAATAGGTTCCTTTCTGTTTTTCCTTCAGAAAAAACAAAATAATTTTTTTTTTAACTATTTCCTTTTAACACACATGAAGTTAACTGTACAGTCTTACTTTTTCCAAGTGTGCTTAAATTGTTACACCCATGGAATGCTGGGAAATGATACCTACAAACAGAAGGGGGATGTAAGTGTTTAATAATTTAACTTTAATCTCCTGTGATATAAATAAAACAAACAGAGAGGTTTGGGGGACAGTGTTAATTAAAGCTCTCCTATTCAACTACAATAAGTGCAAACAGATATTTATATACAAAATTGCACATATCATTTGGGATTCAGAAAAAAAAAATAATGTGTGGAAAATAATTTGCATCGCTTGTTTGGGGATAAATAAATCACAAAGCGAACTCGGACACAGATGCTCCAGAACAAAGGACTAAATGCAACGCAGGTATCGGGAATAAATCATTTGAGATTTGTGTGATAAACAGATGCACTCTGATCCAAAGATTTAATATCAGTGATTAAGCCCTATTTGGCAACCCTGAGACAAAAACAACCCCATTTCAGCACGTTTGACTAAGCTGAACATTCACTTGGAATTAATGGACCAAATCAGACTATGAGCACCATAAGGCTTCAGAGAGCCTGTTCAAGTGCGTACAATCTGCAGGGTTTTGATTTTCATTAAAGCTACAGCATCAGTATTTGAGATTCACTTTTGATTACCTAATAATACAAACAGATTTAAAGGCAAATATTTTTAACAGAAAGGGTACCCAAAATCCTGCAAGATGCTTTCACGATCCATTGTGTGCATTACTAAATTAATAAAATGATATGCTACAGATGATAGAACAATCACACTGAATAAGGAGAAAAACTACACATGTAGAAGAGAAGAAAATAATTTCACAGCATTTAAAATGTTCAATTTATATTCTGATAGTCACTGATGCCATCCATGGTTTACATTGTCATAATAACATATACATTATCTATTGTTATTCAAAGAAATTTCATATTACACCATTAAAAGCTTCACTTTGATATTCAGTCTCTCTCTTCTGAAAATCCCCCTCCGTGTCCAACGTCTGGTTGAACACAATCTGTGAATAAGTTTTCAAATATACAAAAGTGCTCAGTCTTCAAGAAAGCATAAAAAATGTCTATCTGGCCCAAAAAAGCCTCTTCCCCTTTTTTAAGGCAAGTGGTGACCAGTAGTTCCCCCCCCCCCCCCCGCATTTGAAACGAGTGAGAAAAGTTAATGGCTTTTGGCATTTGACGTTTCCACGAATGGCAAGAGCTTTACTATTAATGTAGAAGGACGGGAATATCTCTCAATTATATATGGAAAGGGCACAATGACATAAGTATGCAGCGTGAATGTGTGGACAGGAAACCAAGGTCATGTTCACAAGTGTAAAGCATGCCAAAATGGAAAAAAATAAACTTAAATGAAACACTACATTTACTTAAAAGCTTTTAAGACCAGACTGCTTGCAGACCTTGTCCCTTTTGCCCTCATTTCTCTCTGAACTGTAGTTGAGGTACTGTAAACACTTTAGAGGGTGCTTGAGGGAGGCAGAACAATGATTCACAAACATCAGGCTCCTTCCTATTATCTGAACAAAGCTGAAATGCACTCAATTCACATTCAGTAGAATCCTCAGCCAATTAAAGTTGAGTTCCAAGGATTTCAGAACTCTGGGATTCCGGAACTGGACGGATAAGGTGACCAGGGAAACATGCACTCATTACCTTTCACTCTCACCAACACAACAGCGACGGCAATATGATAGATCAGTACCAGAGTAAAATCTCTTTTCCAAAATGATTTATAACATTATATATAATCTTTATAAATATTTTCTGTGCTGTTGTGTCCTCTATCAATATAAATAGCAAAATATAGTGTCATATTTCCTACAGCTAGTCGAATCCCCTTATCCATTTACACTAAAGCATTTTAAAATCACAAGGTTCTTTTCTGAAAGGATCCATTAGAAATAATGTACAATTGGAACTAAATCTTCCAAAAAATGGATGCCTGTACAAAACAAAATTAACAAAAAAATACAACAAAAAGCAACACAATCAATGTGTGTGTTGTTAGCCACAGGAGTGCATAGATGCTGAGTTTGTGAAATGAGTCTGGGAGGTGTGTGAAACCAAATGATTGGGTGAAAAGTGAAGAAATGTGTGTGGAAATCATCCGTGATGATCTGACCTACTTCTTTGACCTTCTGCTCAAAATCCCAACCGAAGATTGTTTGAAGAAGAATACTCGGCGCAAAATTTTGTTTCTTTCTTTCCTTAAATTAAAAAGCTAACCAATAAATATACAAACAGAGTCCACTTTTTTGTTGAGACCAAAAATGCTTCTAACACTTTGTGGTGTACATTCAGGAACATTCATATTGAAAGTGAAAAATGCAACATAAAATTAACAAACAAACAAACGGAAAAAAAAAATCACTGTAAGAGTTAACAATAAACATTGCCATAATAATAATTTATATTATATTACAAATTATTCCTATGTGTGTTTTTTCCCAGTCCAAGGTCCCTGCCAAGGTAAGGTGATTTTTTATAGTTTTTCTTTTGAGGGAATCCAGATGTAAGGTCCAGACTGTTCGTCTATCACCATCTTACACTGGTTATAAATGTCCTCAAGTGTGTCCCCTTGAACCAGCGCTGAAAGAAAAAGAGAAAGAGCTGATGTTAAATGTGCTGTATAAAAGTTTTTGACTCTATTAAAGCATAAACATACCATAATATGTTTGCAGATATTTAAGAAACATGCTAAGTTAACATACTTGTTTATCTGAAAAACAATGCTACAGTCAGTTATTCTCATACGAAAATGTGTGTTCCGGGCCGGAATGTCGGTCTCTGTTTTGGTTTGTGAAACCCGCCCACTGCCAGTTTACCCAATTGTATTTCATCACCCTGGGTTGCCAGTTGGTGGAAAACACATCATATTTCATTTCATTCATCGTCAAGTGCGCTCGTTCCTGTTGGTGTCGACAATCTGGCAACCTGCATGAAGTCTGAGGAGGAGGGGCCGGGTGAAAAAAACCCTCTTCAATATTTGGACTGCAATACCTAGTTCAACCACTCGGTGTCAATCCTACGTACAGCACCTTTAAAAGATTCTCAACATCTTTTTCGTTTTGCACCACAAGAAGAACCCCTGATGACAGCTTCATAATGATCGTTTTTGAACTTAATGGCTCATTAGCCACTTTATTGTTCATGGATTCTTATTGTAAGAATAGCCATTTTACCCAGAAACAGAATATCTAAAAAAGCAATGAGAATTATGCAGCTTTTTTGTTTAAAATATATATTTTCTTTTTTCTGATAAGCAAAATAGTTATGCTATTTAAGTACACAGCATTATTAGTAAAGCAACACACTTTTTAAATCTCTTCCGGGAGCTTTCTTGCAAATGCAGAGCAGCGGAATAAAAAAAATATATAAATGAAGCAGCAGCAGCATAGTCACATGGGTTCAAAATATCCTCAAATTAACCATCATGTCACTGCATGCTTTTTCATAATCCTCCATACAGACTCACGGGGGTCAAGCTAATGCAAATTTCAAGAGAAAGTTGATGTTTCACTCAGGGGAGACCATCAGCTCCATGGCTCTGCTGTCAAACATGATGGATGTAACAGGCTGCAGTGGTTGGCCTCTGAGGTAATGCATATGCAAGAGACTATCACAATATGCAAATGAGGTGATATCTGAGCATAAAGGCGCCTCTCGGGTCCTCTGGATGGATTAGGAACTCTTGTGTTACCTGTGAAGTACTCGCCAAACTCCTGCTCCAGTTTCATGGCACGGTCGTACGTCTTTTTGGCCTGTTCCTCCGTCAACCTCTTATTCATCTCCCTGAAATGCACAGGTTTTAGAAGTGTATCAGTCACTGTCTCTGAGCGCAGAGGAATTTGTATTATTTATTAAATATATACATCATCATAGAGATGTGTGGGAAACTTACATTAAAGACTCGATGGATCTAGGCTTTATAAAGATGGCAATGGGGTAGAGTTGTGCTACTTGTAGTCGTTTTATAGCATTCCCAGACACGTCAAGTATGCAGTGTTTTCCCTAGAAAAGCAAAAAGGACTGGCTAAATGCTGGGAAGCAGAACAGTAGAGTAAGGGGCCGCTCACAAAAGACACATTCAAGTGTTGTAAAGTAAAAAAAAATTCAAGCAAGGACGAGTCTTGTGAATGATGGCCCCTAACATTGAGTTTGACTCTTTACCGAGTTACTCGCAAGTAATATACATCTGGAACATGCTAAACTAGCTACACATCGCAAATAGTGAAATCTACGTTAGGCAAGGCAAGCTTATTTATACACCACATTTCATTCATAATGGTAAGTGCTTTAAAAGCATTTAAAATAATCATAAACTACAACGCATGCATAAGAAATAAGAGTACCAATAATAGCAAGGAAGTAAGCAGACTTCGTGGCAATGTTGTGGTTGTAAAACCACAGCAAGTACTGACCCTCTCAGCCACGTATTTGACAGACTGGACACTGGTTCCATACAGATTGTCATTGTACTGTCCAGCCTCGATGAACTTGTGCTCTTGGATGTCTTTCTCCATCTGCTCTCGTGAGGTCACAAAGTGATAATCTCTCCCATCCACTTCATAATCCCGCTTTGGTCTTGTAGTATCTGGAATTGGTTAAAAAAAAAAAACATCCAGGCTTTAGTTTTATAAGACTTGGGTACTTGGCTCTAAAACATATAAATCATCATTATTATTTACATACTCATTCATGTGAAATACCTTAAGCTGTCAGAGGACGGAGAGCAAATCTACTTACAAATACAAATAAACTACTATATGACTGACATACTAAAAGATAGAACAGCAGCAGTGGTCTAAGCAGAAATACCCATAGTTCCCACTGACTGGATGAACTGTATACTACAAGGAAGGACTATTACATTTTCTACTCATATCTTGCTCATTGCAGACTAATATTCTCACTTACCTTCTTGAGCAGAACTGTTAGCTGCTTTTTTAAAATTATGAACAAACAAAAACGGTTAAATAAAAGTCTGAAAAACTGAAAAACAAACAAATAAAATGTTTAAGATGTAAAACATGAAAGAGCTCTGTGGCACTCATCAGCAAACTCAGAATGATATGGGATTTTTTTTCTATAATATGGGATTTTTATTCTGAGATGAAGACCTCCTTTATTGTATTGTCAATATTTTGGCTGATATGTGTAGCACAAGCCAACAAAGCTCTTTCCCCATAAGCATAAAACTTAGGAAAATTAGAACACAAATGAAATCTTACAAATCGTGGATTACTAAGGGTTACTTTCAAGGTTTGCTCCAAGTAATTTTTTATTTACTCTTTAGACCACTCTTTAGAAAACATCACTACCTAGTGGCCTAGTTGAAGTCAATTAATCAGCAGACCTTGAAATAAGTGATTTGATAGTCACAAAACAATGAAATGAGTTTCAGGAACTGCACAACAAGCACTCTGGGACAGTAGGGAACACCACAGACTTATGGTCAGGCCACTCACCTTACCATCTCATTTTGATGAACCCCACCAGAACCGCTATCAGCACAAAGGCTTAAAAACTCCCAAGACTACTGGATATAATTACAAACTACCCTGGCTGGAGGTTTTTCTAACACTCCGACTGAAATTCATAACGGCACAAGTGAGAATAACACAGTACACTATTGCTCAGTTGGGCTCTTTAAAGACACTGCTTGAGTCAGCCTCTACTGAAGGTTAATCTGTGCATACTAAAGATGAATAATGAATAATAAATGGAAGATCCATTAAAAAGTCTAGTTTATCTGATAATCTAACCACCTGGACAGGAACCACAAGATCTCTGTTGGGTACTTACGTGGCACACATGACCCAAACTTGTCCGGGAACTCGGAGATGAGGTCATCGTTGATTCTGTCCTTCATAGGCCCCAAGATTATAACCGGTCTGGCATAATTAACTGTTCAAACACATAATACAGACAGAAAATCTAATTGAACACCAATAATCTATTTACACAGTTCAAACATGAGAGACCGTGGAGAGGCACTTACTCTCTTGTCTGATGACGGGCTCATACGAGAGGATCAGCTCCTCTTGACTCCCTGGAAACAGAACAGAAAAACATACTCAGTGGGGTGGGTGCTTATGATAGGACTCAGCTTGCTTTTTGCAGAACGCCGGCAATTGTGATGGCCACATTTTGTGCGCCCTTCACCAAGGTCTCTCATCTCAGAGCACAGCTCAAGTGGATGTGTAAATGAATGACTGAGCATGTAATGTCATAACGTACTTGTTGACAAGGACATTTGTATTAAAAAAGAGAAAAATGAAAAAAAAATTGAGTCAGTGCTCATTTGGGAGATTAAAGGGATTGCCAGAAAGGCTTTGGGGCAATGATGGACAACAGAAAAGCAATTTAATCACGGATGAGACTGAAGTTTCAGACAGTTGCAATACTAATTGAATATAATAGTCCAATTATGGAAACGCAAGTCCAAAGTGACACTAGTTTGGAGGTGGTCTGCGCACACAGGGACTTGGAGAGCCAGAGGAGTTTATTTTTAGCCCTGGGACGAACAGAAGCAGGTTGCCGCAGGAACACAATATGGTTTTTATCCATCGATTCAAACCCAGATAGGATTGCATGTTATTCTGAGCCAGAGCTTCAATTTTTCTCATTGGCAGTGGTAACATTAAACTATAGAGAATGAATCACACATGAATCAGTTTTGTGTAGTGCTCCGCTCTTACCCAGAACAATTTAGAAGCTGTGGAAATGCTAGATGGCCTCTATTTGTGTAGCTATTGGCATAAACAGAATGGATTTTGTCCATTGAAAGCCTTACAAACACAAAGCACACTCTGAAGCACACTCTGTTCACCAACCTAATGAGCTGCCCACAGAGGCAGAATTTTAAGGCATCAAATGTAGACTCGCAACAAAAAAGCTGTTTTAAAAGGTAGGCAACTTAACTTTGTTGCCTCCTAATATTTCTTGTTTGGCCAAATTCTAAAGGCAACACTGAATGTTTATAGTATTACTGATCCAATTCAAGCAGGTGAGGTGAGAAAAATGTAGACTATAAATGCACATTTTATTCAACACTTTATAGTATGAATAAAATGTAGAAATAAAAACAATTATTTTAACTAATAATGAAATGTGCTAACTTTATGCTTATTAGAGTGGAGCTCTATTGTTAGTACCAGACTCAAATGAAAATATTATTGCGAGTTGAGTCTCCCATAGCTGGTCATGCATAATGTTCCAAATCAATAATGTTTTTTAGAATGCCCTCCTAGAATGCAGCTATGTAAGTAGTAAGCAACAAGGCAGCTCACTTTGAACAGAGCTTGAGTTGTATATTCTTTTGAGTTCTGCAGGAAAGGACGAGTTCTGTGCATTAAACAGAAGCCAAGCTGAGGAGACAGCGTCTAAGAGGACTTTAAAACAAGGTTATGTGGGTTTGATCAATGCCTGGAGTTTGTGGTGGAGACAGATCATACATTATATTGTAAGACTGGATATGAACTTTGCCCTCTGACCCTGATATGAAGCCAGCTATAAGAGCCCACACTTAAGAATTATGCTTCTACTAACATCACATGAAGGCCATGGTGACTTTAGTCTCTTAAGCTCATCAAGGCTGCATTTATTTAATCAAAAACACAGTAAAAACTGTAATATTGTAAAATATGAATATTAAAGGGGTCATATGATGCGATTTCAAGTTTTCCTTTCTCTTTGGAGTGTTAGAAGCTGTTCGTGAATAGATAAGATCCCTAAAGTTGCGAAGACTAAAGTCCAGGGACGCGGGAAATAGGGGTGTTGAGGGGGCTGCAGCACCCCCTGTTTTCACATGGTTGCAAATGCAATGCCAAGTTTGTTCATTAAAATTTATTCAGTTTTAGCATTTAATAATTTATTTGTAATGATCTCTGAAATGTAAATTGTAAGTGGGCTATAATAAACCCATGTTTATCTTTATAAACATGATTATTTTACTTGTGATGTTTTCTAAATGGGATGATTAGCCTAATCCTTATGAACACGTGACGCTGGCGCGATCAGACATAAACTGTACAGAATGCGAACAAGCTCGTTTAAACACGCCCCCACATGTCTACGTCACTGTGTGGGAAGATTTGCATAATGCCGCCCAAATGTTCACGCAAAGAAAGAAGGTGTAACTTTGATTCTCGCTGTAGTATTGTTGCCGTGACGTGGAGACGCTGTGTGTTTCATTATGAAAGCGAAACTACTTTGTTTGGTTTTCCAAAAGAGGACACAACTAGAAATCAGTGGCCAATCAGAGCATACCTCGCTTTTCAGAATGATGAGTTTTGTAAAAATCGACGCGTTACAGTTGTGAGCAACGCATTTTACGGAGGACGAGGACTGTTTCCTGGGAGAGTAGGCTACAATGCCTGTGTTCTGACAAATAATGCTGACTCACAGAATGTAAGTATGCTTTCATATTTAAAGAATTTGCCACTGATGATTCAAACGCGAGTTTTGAGCAGTGTAGAGTAGCACTTGTTGTTTGTCGTTTCTCCGATCACAAATGCAGACATGGTTTTATGTTTACCATGTAAACATATGGCGATGCAACGCAACGCGTAAAAAGACAGTATAAGTCATTATAATCAGTATGTCCCCAATGGATGCAACAAATGCCTTGTTTATAATGGGTTTTATTGGTTTTGACTTGCCGGGACACGGCATCATATGGTAAGGGTCATAACATTTCCATCACAACACAACGCACTGGATAGCTGGCCAATCAGAGCATACCTCGCTTTTCAGAATGATGAGTTTTGTAAAAATCGACGCGTTACAGAAAGGCGGGGCATAGAGGAGAAACAATATTGTACAGTATGTGGAAAATAATGTTTTTTTTTTTTTTACCTTAAACCACATAAACGCATTGCATTACACCAAATACACCACATAATGTTCTTTTTTAATGTCATATGACCCCTTTAAATAAAATTTTTAAAAAAACTTTTAATTTATTCCTGTGATACAAAGCTGAATTTTTAGATGCCATTACTCCAGTCTTCAGTGTCAAATAATCTTTCAGCAATCATTCTGATTTGGTGCTCAAGAAACACTTCTTATGGATGCAACAAATGCCTTGTTTATAATGGGTTTTATTGGTTTTGACTTGCCGGGACACGGCATCATATGGTAAGGGTCATAACATTTCCATCACAACACAACGCACTGGATAGCTGGCCAATCAGAGCATACCTCGCTTTTCAGAATGATGAGTTTTGTAAAAATCGACGCGTTACAGAAAGGCGGGGCATAGAGGAGAAACAATATTGTACAGTATGTGGAAAATAATGTTTTTTTTTTTTTTACCTTAAACCACATAAACACATTGCATTACACCAAATACACCACATAATGTTCTTTTTTAATGTCATATGACCCCTTTAAATAAAATTTAAAAAAAAACTTTTAATTTATTCCTGTGATACAAAGCTGAATTTTTAGAAGCCATTACTCCAGTCTTCAGTGTCAAATAATCTTTCAGCAATCATTCTGATTTGGTGCTCAAGAAACACTTCTTATTAACAGTGCTGCTTAATAATTTTGTGGAAACTATAATACATTTTCCCCAACATTCTCTGGTAAATAGAAACCAGAGAATTAGAAATGTAATATTAGAAATGTCATTACTGTAACCTAATGCATCCTTGCTTCATTCATAAAAAAATTAAAAAACTGACCGCAAACAGTAGTGTATATATATTCACATTAATGAAATGTTTGCTCAAATGTAACTGAAATGTTTATGCTAAAACTTGTATCTTTCTGCATGTCATAGCAAACAAACTGTAAATGATTCTTTCTGACAGCACATATCATTTTTCATCAGTGTGTTATCAAGTGAGTCCATTTCCAAAATAAATTAAATAAAAGCCACAAATCCTGTTTACCAGCCAACGGGGAAACAAACAAGTCATCTTTCATTATGTTGATGATGGCTGTCTAGATGAGCATCATGCAATATGGCAATTACACAGCAAAACCTAATCTGTCCAAAGTGACAAGCTCATCCAGAGAGCTGAATTCACACTCAGTCTGGAAACCTGCCACTCGCAAGATGAGTACAAAACCTGACAGCTAACATTTTGGAGCTGGAGTACGGTACTATATTTCCAACAAAACTGACCTGAGTTCATCAGGTTACTCAAGTTACTCAGTTTTCAAGGGTGTTGAAAATTATTATCAGGGGCTCGCTATAAATTTTGACAGTCTAAGTTGTTGTATTGGACAAAATTAGACTTGAGTTTCAAGCATAAAATAAAATGAGAAAAAGGAGATTAAATTAAGGACCCAGTACCAAGGAAGAGAGATAAATGCAAAAGAAATATCCTCTATTCTGATCTTATATATTGGCTTTGTTTTCTGTGAACAACTACCGCTTCCCCTCTCTACGTATTGTATCTTGGCACAATACATATTAATTCATTGAGAATAGTGTTAAATATTCAGTTTGACTGATGTGTATTCCCTTAAAACCATATTTCATTAATTGTGTTGGCTAAAATTGTTTGATGAGAACATAAAAGCACTGTCAAAACACAAGACAACATTTGGCACAGCACTGCAGAGACATCATAAAAGACAAACACAAAAGACTAGATTGTAACCTAGATACCTAGATAAGCAGAACTGTATATTCTGATTTATTCTGAATCATGTCTGATAATTAGTATTTATTATTTACCCATCCCTAAATTACTTTTTTGCTGAATTTTGAGTTTACATCTCGCAGTTCTGTTTTTTTTTCTCTGCCGTGAAATAAAAAAATAATACAAGCTTTCTGCTTGAAATTGCTGCTTTCTATCTCACAATTCTGACTTTTCTCAGGATTGTGAAAAGAGTCAGAATTGTAAGATAAAAAGTCACAGTTACCTTTTTGATTTTTTTATCCCGTGGCAGAAACAAGCTTACGTAGAAAATAGCACAACATTCTCGACATACAAACTAAACAAACAACATCTGACAACTATTCTGACACGTTATGTACACGTCATGCACCATTTTAGCTACCACATAAACCTAAGGATGGTAATGCAGGATTCCTTACAACATCACAACCTGTGAACCAACGTACATTAGTATTCTGACATGCAGACAGGCCTGTGGTTGTTGGAGACGGCTAGGACGACGCAACAGAAAAGAAAAAAAATCTGAACTGAAATGTTACATATGTGCTTGGGAGAGGGGTATTGGGTCCATTCCTTAACACACTTACTCAGTGTCTTTGCTCCGTACCCGTCCTCCCCTATTCCAGAGATGTCCTACACCACACAGTCGATCAGAGAGGCGAGGGGGGTGAAGAGAGAGAATGAAGGAGGATGGGAGACAGAGAGACAGAGGAAGAGAGAGACAGTAAGGTTGTTGGTGGGGCGGGCAGTAACGCCAGCAGAAGAAGGAGGACACGGGCTTCCTGGAGCTACCTACACACACCTAGACCTCTCAACCCACCCCGAGGATGCGTTTGTGTGAGCGTGTGCTGTTTTTATGTACCTACGTGTGAGAGTGCACATGTGTTTGTGGCTACTTACGTTCCGAGTCACTGCCGTCTTGCTCGTCGGCGTCCTTGTTCTTGTAGAAAGGGAACTTGCGTGAAAAGATGAAGTTCTTTCTACGTTTTTCACTGAATGACTGTGCGGAGAGAGAGCATGGTGCAAACAGGGGGCTCTAAACGCTGTCACAATCATGCTGACAAAAACAACACAACGACCGGAGCTGGACGTGAGGGACAGCAGCAAGGAAACAACCACACATCCAATTGTTTCTTATTGGCAGGACCATTCAACTAAATGAAATGAGCAATTCACTCATATTAAATACGCTAATTACATTATTTTGGGCTCGAACCGAAAGCACTTGGATGATCCTGAATAGGTGATCTTTGTTTGTTGTGAAGGCTGATCCAAACCCTGCTGTCCATGACGTCACAGCACCTGAGCTGTTTTCAGACAGCTCAAATGTATTCAAATTAAAACATGATCAATAGGAATGAACATACAAGGGAGGTAAACAATGATAAACAAAAGACCAACTGAAGCTAGTTTAGTGCCATGCAAAGGCAAATGGGACTCAAAAAATAAATAAATTACTCATATTAAAAAAACACGCATGCAGGACAGGTGCCATGCTGATCAAATGGGCAAAATCTGTGCTGCTTGTGTGTAGTATTATGATGCTCTGAAGGTGAATTGCAAAGAAAAATAAATGAGGTAACATATATGTGACTGAGGTGATTTTAAATGTGATTTTCTAGCTGATTTGGTGAACCTGACGTCAATACGCTGCCTGATATGAATGTCATTTTCCTTATAAATTACAATATGTGATGGTGAAACCAGACTATAATATGTCCAGATCATGCTTTACCGTGAAATTAAAATAAAAAAATATATATATACAATTATATGAATATGAATTATATTAAATCAAGCCTATTTAAGGACCATTCATTAATTTAAGGACCATATTTTTTTGCATTATTAAATTTTATTGAAATGACTTTCCACCCAACAGTCATTTCTGTAATGCAAAACCATATAGGAAACAAACAACAAAAAATGTGAATTTTTAGGTTTAGGTTGTATGTAAACATCATTGTAGTAATTTTTTTTTTTTTTACTGAATTTAATTAATGCTTTAATAAAAAATAATCACTGTGTCCAGACATGAGAATTAGATTTTTTTTTACATAATAATGAAAATCTGAATTTTTATGCTTAATTATCAAGAATGTCAATGGTTCTAAAAACAGGCTTAAATGTCTTAACATTAACAAAATAAATATTTTTTCTTATGATCTTGGGGTAAAATATAACCCAGACATTTCTTAAATAGATTCACAGATAAATATTTAGCAATAAAATAAATATACAATTTTAATTTGAGTGCTTTTGTGTGTATTTGTGTGTTTTTTAAAAATATTTTAGCAGTGTATGAATGAAACCAATAGCACCCCTGATAGTGATTAAAGAGAATATTCATAACTATGCTAATCCTCTCTATTATAATGCACATAAACAATCATATAATCAATGCATTTTCAATCAACACTGAAATCCTATGAGCCATAAACCTGAAATGATACATATACAAGTTGGTGCATCTTAACACAAGACAAAACCACACAAAAAAATCCTCAAGTAATCCGTCAGTGCCAACACCCCCACCCCTCTCCCATCTTCAAAAGACAGAGGGAGAGAAAAAAAAGAAAAAGGAACAAGAGACAAGAAAGCAAGGGAAATTTGCAGGCCCGGCTGCAATGTTGCTATGGATACTAGCGGGAATCATAAGGCTAAAAATCTGAGCAGCGCTGCGGTTGTGTGCCGAACTAAAAATACACCCTACATCCTTCGGTTTTATTCAGTTCACCTCTCAAACACAAACATAAGAAATATTTACTACAGATGACCTTACAATACTGATCTCACAAAAGACGCATTAGGAGACACATTTATGTACAAACGTAATATTGAAGCTGCTTCTGTGAGCTACGCTGCAGTACTGAGGCTGAGAGCTCAGAGTGAGCTGTCACACTGCGGCAGAAGGATAGAGTCTCACACACACACTTTCACTCTGACTGACTGACTCAATGACCCACCAGCACAACTTGAAATGGGAAAATAAATTCAAGATGACAGGGCACGACAGAAACTAAGCCGGATAGACTGAAGAAAGGGAAGAGACAGACAGATATTATAATAGATGAGTGAAGAGACACAACAGGGGCTTGCTGGTGAACTGTGTCTAAACTGTCATTAAATCATTGGGCCCTTCCTGCTAACACCTGAAAACTGGGGCGAACAGAATTTGGGATGTTGGCACTGATAAAACCATTTTAAACACAATTACTCAACAAATAGAAGACTTACCCCTTTAGAATCGAGGCTACCGGGTTTTGCATTGAATTTAACCGTCTTCAGACGAGCTCTCTCTTTTCTCTCCACCCTGCCACAGTAATAGAGACAAAGTCAGTGAAATGTTCTACACAAATGTACTTATACTATATTCCTACGGTTTCCACAAAAATATTCCACAAACTTTTGTGTTTGTTTTCGACAAATAATAATAAGAATTGTTTCTCAAGCACCAAATCGTGCATATTAGAATGATTTTTGAAGAATCACGAGACACTAAAGACAGGAGTAATGACCGAATTGCTATCACAGGAATAGATTACATCTTAAAATATTTTTAAATATAAAACTGCTATTTTAAATGGCAAACACACAATATTATATATGTTTATATAATTTTGATTAAACAAATGCAGCCTTGGTGAACTTAAGAGACTTCTTTCAAAAACATAAAAAAATCTTACCACAATCAAAACTTTTTTTGTCCTAATTTTGTTTTACATGAACATTTTTTTAACCCTGATATGTCAAATCAAACAGAATGTTGCTGCTTTACATTTAAGACTTCTTTATATAAATACAGATTAGAAATTAATAGACAAGAATGTGATGGGTTAATATTAATGAACGACCCATTATTGCTGCTTATTATTCACATGGTGTATTCAACACTTTCATATCAGAAGAGGAAAGAAAATTCTGTTTTCCATTTTATGTTCCCTTTAAAGAGCAAACTTAAATATAGGGCAGTAGGGTAACGATTAGAACTAGGGCTGTCACATGTTTTTTTTTATTCAATTAATTGTATTAAAAAATACAGTTCAGTGAAAATATTAACTTGACACTCTACCTTAAAAAAGGGGGTACATTTTTTAAGAATTAATGAACATAATTTAGGTGGCTGTACTAACTAAATATTGATATATGCAATTTACTGAGATTAATCTGATAACTTGGCATATCAATTAATTTGATCGTATTTTTACATTTCCTGACAGCTCTTATTAAAAAGGTAAGGTTGGATGTGGTTTGTGGTTATTAAGTTACTAAAGGTAGCACAAAACACTTCAAAGGTGGTAATAAATCTACACTGGTCACAGGTTCAGTCTTCAGTCGTGTAGGTGATTCAGCATGAAACTCACCTCCTCTTGCTGGGTATGACGCCCATCTCCTCACTGTCCCCTTCAGGCGTCACTCTCCTGGCCTGCCACCACTCATCATCAGATGCATTGATGACATGGAGGATGTCTCCATATCGGAAACTGAGCCCCTGACTGGGCAGACCACTATCCTTCGCCCTCTCATAGTCAAACAGAGCCCTGCAGCGAGAGAGAGACACACAATGTCAGTTTTACAGACCTGACACATTCACGCAACTAAAGACAGGAGTAATGACCGAATTGCTATCACAGGAATAGATTACATCTTAAAATATTTTTAAATATAAAACTGCTATTTTAAATGGCAAATACACAATATTATATATGTTTCTATAATTTTGATTAAACAAATGCAGCCTTGGTGAACTTAAGAGACTTCTTTCAAAAACATAAAAAAATCTTACCACAATCAAAACTTTTTTTGTCCTAATTTTGTTTTACATGAACATTTTTTTAACCCTGATATGTCAAATCAAACAGAATGTTGCTGCTTTACATTTAAGACTTCTTTATATAAATACAGATTAGAAATTAATAGACAAGAATGTGATGGGTTAATATTAATGAACGACCCATTATTGCTGCTTATTATTCACATGGTGTATTCAACACTTTCATATCAGAAGAGGAAAGAAAATTCTGTTTTCCATTTTATGTTCCCTTTAAAGAGCAAACTTAAATATAGGGCAGTAGGGTAACGATTAGAACTAGGGCTGTCACATGTTTTTTTTTATTCAATTAATTGTATTAAAAAATACAGTTCAGTGAAAATATTAACTTGACACTCTACCTTAAAAAAGGGGGTACATTTTTTAAGAATTAATGAACATAATTTAGGTGGCTGTACTAACTAAATATTGATATATGCAATTTACTGAGATTAATCTGATAACTTGGCATATCAATTAATTTGATCGTATTTTTACATTTCCTGACAGCTCTTATTAAAAAGGTAAGGTTGGATGTGGTTTGTGGTTATTAAGTTACTAAAGGTAGCACAAAACACTTCAAAGGTGGTAATAAATCTACACTGGTCACAGGTTCAGTCTTCAGTCGTGTAGGTGATTCAGCATGAAACTCACCTCCTCTTGCTGGGTATGACGCCCATCTCCTCACTGTCCCCTTCAGGCGTCACTCTCCTGGCCTGCCACCACTCATCATCAGATGCATTGATGACATGGAGGATGTCTCCATATCGGAAACTGAGCCCCTGACTGGGCAGACCACTATCCTTCGCCCTCTCATAGTCAAACAGAGCCCTGCAGCGAGAGAGAGACACACAATGTCAGTTTTACAGACCTGACACATTCACGCAACATTTCGCATCCATCTGTCACTAAAACGGTCTTGAATTGGCAGTAATGGCTGACGTGTTGTAAAGCAGCATGTGCAGATACAGCTGTGAAAGGTACAAGTGCCACTAGCCCCGGTCAGCACATATTATAGAGTAGCACACACTCCTCATAACTGTGTGTGTTTGTGTAGAATGATGGTACGGTGGGAATATGATTGATTAAAAAACAACTGAATGTTTCATTCCAATGCTTTGTAAATCTATAAGCAGCTGCCATCACTGATTAATATGCATATATATATATATATATATATAATATAATATAAATATAATTAATATTATATTAATACATTTGTGGGGTATGACTAGTGCGCCATTATTTGGTCTTTTAAAAAAATTAAACAGTATTAACAATTAATTTTTTTTCTACTTATTTCCCGTCTCTTCTCTGCTACAGAATAGAAGTAAAATTAAAAACACAGACTGCAAATACTAAGAATGTAAATATTATAAACAACAGACATAATATCACTATATATATATATAAGAAATTAATACTTTTATTACAAAAGGATGCATTAAATTGATCAAACGTGATAGTAAAGACTTTTTTTCAAAAAAAAAAAAAAATTTGTTTTTATCATGGTTTACACAAAAATCTTAAGCATCAGAACTGACTTCAGCATTAGTAATAAAAATAAATGTTTCCTGAGCATCAAATTAGCATATTAGAAATATTTCTGAAGAATGTGACACACATTGTTTTTTAAATTTTTTTTTATATTATTTCACAATATTACTGTTTTTACTGTATTTTTGATCAAATAAATGCAGCCTTGGTGAGAATAAGAGACTTCTTTCAAAAAACTAAATCTTGCGGACCCTAAACTTGATTGACAGTGTAAACAGGGAAATCAGGTCTTTCTCAAATGCTGCAAACCTCAAAATATATATGATATATTTCACATCATTTTGACTGAGAAATCTCAGCTCCTTCACATAATAGAAAACCTCCGGTAAGTGAGAAGCACAGATCAGAAAAGCCATTTCAAAGGCAATCACAGTTTACTACACACTCCTGCCATCTGAAGTGGGTGAATCACTATGCGGCGACAGAAGAAACCTCTCATTCATCCTCATATGGAGGAGCACTATCGAGAGAAGCAGGCTAGTGTTTCAAGAATAACCATGATTCACGTACTCACCCCTAGAAAGAGACATAAACACTCTATTTAAAAAACAGATTTTACACTGCAGATGTAGACAAAGACCAAATGAATAGAAGAGTTTAACATGAACCGTTTGAGGGAAGCATGTGCACTGGTGTCTTGAGTATGCACTTCAAAAATAAGCAGGACAAGTAATAGCTGTTTTGTTTTATTTTTGTACTTTCGATTCTATTCTCAAAATTTTGCCTGCTCCAGTTTTAAAGCCATGCTGTTTTCACTGTTATCTACCTCCAGCAGGGCTGTGTGGATGATCAAGCGGTGAAACACATTAAAAGGAAGCACTATAGCTGAGACGCATCCACACACAAAAGAACAGACAGGCTGCCACGGTCTCCTATAGGCCTGCCCCACTGAGTACACAATACAAGAGATAACAGCAATAATGCCCATTAAACTCCTTCCTCCAGGTACATTTAGTCACTGCAAGCCTAGTCGAAATGCTTCAATGCAGACCTACGATAAGCTGAACCGGAGTTATTGCGTTTCATGTTTCTTTCTATTGTCTATACGGTTTCTAATTCTGTGTGGGTAAAAACCATGGAGGCCCACAATATGACACTCACCTCCTAACGGCAAATGCTTACAAAAATTGTAAGGGCAATCGAGGCAATTGGGGGGTAAGCAAGCCAAAGTAAACCAAACTTTGACTCCTTGATCTAAATGTAAACACAATAAATATGTGAATGTCCGATTACAAAAAAAAAACAGGCATCTATTAAAGACATTTATCATTTTAGAACAAGCTGTTCCTAAAATACTGCCATGACACCACACACTAAACAGCACTTTTGCATACTCAGCCCTGATAAAAGCTCTCATATAAGAAGAGACTCTCCTGAATAAAAGTGTAAGGGTTTGGGGAATAAAAAAAAAAA